CTCCCTCAATTGGAGATTATTGCCAAGAAATTAAATGTAGTTGTGTTACTTTAGGTTTTTGTGGTAGATTTTTTCTTACAAATAAAATAAATAAATAAATGGTAGTTAGTTGTTCTCCAAGTAGTCATTATAATGGTAGTTGTTGGTAAAATTTTCTTAATTTTCACAAAATTACCCTATATCTAAAGTATAATACTCTCTTCTTCACTTTTTATTGGATACGTTTTGACTTTTACACTTTTGTCAATACACCTATTTGATTATTATTCATTACATACTTTTTAAAATTTAACGATTGAATATTAATAGAGCATTCGTTGAGACGAATCAAACATGATCACATACAACTCTTTTACTTTTGTGAGTAAAATTTGAAGATCGTCTAATACTTCCTTTATCCTAAAATACATGACACAATCAACATTGCACACATGTCAATGCACTACTTTGAATTTATTTGTATATAATTAAATATTATGAAAATTATTTTAAAATTATATTTTGAAACTTTATATATATACCTATTTAATAACATATTTTATGATAAAATATGTTTTTATTATGTTAGTAAAAAATTATGATCAAAACTAATACATGAATAGTGAAAAAAGTCTAACGTCTCATGTATTTTGGGACGAAGGGAGCATTATGAATAATGTTTAAAATCTAAATATAACCAATAAAGAGAAACGGATGAAATATTATGAATAATATTTAAAATATGATAATAACCAATAAAAAGAAACGGAGGGGTACCCTACAAATTTTTTTAAAATCATCCTAAAGTTTTTGTCAAAAAAAAAGGGAAATTGTACATGGTGGCCTCATGGTTTTGAGTTTTCTACGTGAAAGACGAAATTTTTTTCAGCTCCTTTTAGTGGCACAAAGGTTTAGTAAAATTGACCATAGTGACCTTTTTTAGGTTTATGGTTAACTTTTTTAGTTAAATGGGTTAACCTTTGGATTTTTTTATAAAAAAATTATTTAAATTTTATTTTAAAATAATAAAATAAAAAAAAAAAACAAAAAAAATTCCCAAATGCGTTTTTTGTTTTTTTTTTAAATTTTGTTATTATAAAATATAATTTAAATAATTTTTTAAATTATTTAAATTATATTTAAAATATTTTGTTTTTTAAATTTTTTTTTATTATTTTAAAATATAATTTAAATAATTTTTTAGTAAAAAAAATTAAAGGTTAACCATTTTAACTAAAAAGGTTAGCCATAAACCTTAAAAAGGTCACTATGGATAACTTTTCTAAACCTTGGTGCCACTAAAGAGAGCTGAAAAAAACTTCGTCTTCCACATAGAATACTCAAAACCATGAGGCCACCATGTAGATTTTCAAAAAAAAAAAAAACATCCTTAAAAATTGAAATACTTTTTTTTTTCTTTTTTGAGAGAAAGCTAGCTTGCATTAATCAAATAGAAAGATTGTCCATGAGTACATAAGGAGTGACATTTCTAGGGCAAGAGTTTTCCCAGATTTGTTCAACTCCAAACGGAACAAGCTTAGCTAAGGAATGAGCAACACTATTGCCATCCCGTTTTACATGAGACCAAATAACAGTATTAAAAGACGTACATAAATTAAAAATATCGGTCAAAACTGTGTCAAGCTCAACTGAGTAACGAGCCCCTTTGGATAAACGGTCAATGACTAGCTTGCAATCAGATTCAATAATGATATCTCTGTGGCTGGCAGCTAGCTTTAGAGCTCTAAGGATCCCCTTAGCTTCCACAATTTCAGGGGGCCAGTGATCCCTCGTCCTTCGAGTTGCAGCCCAGATGACATGCCCTTCGTGATCTCTCGCAACAATGCCCAAACCAACCCAGCCTTCTTCTGATAAAGATGCATCAGTGTTTATTTTAACAAAACCGTTTGGGGGGGGGGGCAAGCCATTTGTTGGGGCGGTGGGTGGGAAGGGGCGAGATAGATTTGTAGACACGAGCATTATATTTGTCATAATCGTCTACATATCGAAATACACGCTGGGTAATGATTTCATTTGGTGTTATTTTGTTGGCAAAAACCTTGAGATTTCTTTCCCCCCATATACACCAAGCCAGGAACATACCCCGTTGTATTATCTTCTTATCAAGCAATTTCCAGCTTACAACCAAGTCACAGAGGGAAGGAGCTGCACTCCAATCCGCCATCTGATCACATTCGCATAGAGCCCACAGATCCTTGACTCTGGGACGGCCTACAAAGGCGTGCTCCACAGTTTCCAGGCTAGACCCACACCATGGACACATTGCATTATCAATCATATGCCTATGGAGGAGTAAGCTTCGAGTGGGTAATGTACCGGAGCAGAGATGCCAGAAGAAGTGCTTCACTTTGGGGGTTACATTAGCTTTCCTAATTTCTACCCAAGCTTGATGGAATGTATCAAAATCCCCACCTTTGCCGAGCATATAAGCAGATTTGACCGTGTACGTTCCAGTCATTGAGAAATCCCAACATAACTCATCTTCTTGATCAATTTCGCTGATGGGGAAGCCAGTATGTTGCGTCTATCTCTATCATTGAAACAGCTTTCGATGACATCCCCCCGCCACTCTCTTTTGTCTTCGTCAATAATGTCACACACTTTGTGCAGGCTTGCTGAAGCCGTACTTGATAGGAAACGACCCTCAGAGTCAGGAATCCAAGGGTCGCTCCAAAGGTTTATGTTTCGACCATTGCCCACCCTCCAGATCACACCTTCCTTAACAAGGGCCTTTGCCGACCATATGCTTCGTCAAGAGTGACTCCCTGCCAAACCAAGAGAAGAATCAAGAAAATCAGTGTTAGGGTAATACTTTGCCTCGAAGACTCGCCCAAGGAGAGAATTTGGAGCCCTGATAAGGCGCCAAGCTTGTTTCCCTAGTAATGCCTCATTAAACACAGCCAAATCCCTGAATCCCATACCCCCTAAACATTTTAAGGTGCACATGGATTTCCGGTTTCTCCAGTGAATTTTCCTGTTCCCTCTGATGAGCCCCACCAAAATCTGGCCATGGCGGATTGAATGTGTGTGATCACTGAACTCGGAAGCTTATAAACCCTCATCAAATATGTAGGGATTGTCTGGATTACCGATTTGAGAAGTATCTCTTTTCCTGCTCTGGAGAGTAGTTTTTCCTTCCACCCCTGTAATTTCTTCCAAATTCTGTCAACTAAAGCCCCAAACACAGCCTTCTTTGACCGCCCCACAAGTGTAGGGATTCCCAGATGTCTTTCATGTCTGTCAACCTGTCTCATGTTAAGAATACTCATCAACTCTTCCCTTCGGTTAGCTTCAATTCTTTTACTAAAGGACACCTCCGACTTTTCATAGTTAATTTTTTGTCCGGATGCTTGTTCATATTGGTTGAGAACATCAACTACCGATTGGCATTCCTATCGAGTTGCCCTGGTAAAAAGTAAGCTGTCATCGGCGAAAAGAAGATGAGATATAACTGGCCCCTTCCGGCTTGCTTTTGCTCCATGAATTTTCCTCTCTCTGATTTTATTCTGTAACATACTAGAGAAAACATCAGCGACCAAAATAAAGAGGTACGGTGATAGAGGATCTCCTTGCCGGAGTCCTCTAGAAGGGGTCACCGTACCACAAACCTCTCCATTTATCACAAACGAGTAGGAAACCGAGGATACGCAATCCATCACCAAGTTTACCCATCGTCCATCAAACCCCATAGTAAGTAGGAGCCGTCGTAGAAAACCCCATTCCACCCGATCATAAGCTTTGCTCATATCAAGTTTTAGAGCTATGAAACCCTTCCTCCCCTTGCTCCTCGTCTTCATAGTATGGAACAATTCGAGAGAAATTAAGGCATTATCTGTAATTAGCCGACCAGGGACAAAAGCACTCTGACTTTCCGAAACAATCTCAGGGAGAATATTTTTTAGTCTCATTACAATCGCTTTTGATACAAGCTTATAAAGAACATTACAAAGTGCAATGGGTCTATATTCGGCCGTGGTGGTAGGTTTATTTACTTTTGGAATTAGCACAATATTGGTATTGTTTACACGACTGGGGGGAAGGGAGCCATGTAATATGTTACTCACAAATAAAGCAATATCATCACCAATAATGTGCCAAAAACGCTGGTAAAAAATTGCATGCATACCGTCCGGACCCGAGGCTTTGCAGGGCTGCATTTGTTGAAGAGCTCTATAAATTTCCTCCTTCGAGAAGGGTCTAGTTAGTTCTCTGTTAACATCGTCTTAAATCTTGGGGCTCATAGAGCTAAGAACTTCCTCCATAGCTTCTTCTGTCGGACTTGAAGATGTGAAAATATTTTCGAAATGTTTGGTAATAATCGCCTCGATACTCTTCTCATCCCTGTGCCAAACTTCATTTTCATCATAAATACCACCTATGAAGTTCTTTTTCTTACGTTGAGATGCTTTATGATGAAAATATTTGGTGTTTCTATCCCCATCCCTGATTTCTGCTACTCTGCTCCTAATGTACCAGTAAGCTTCCATTTTCTAATTCAACTCGTCAAGCTTTTTTTCTAGCCTCAGACAATCCTCAACACTATGCACTGAAATATTTCGTTGATACATAATATTGTTTTACCTTTAATAATTTTGATCGTATATTTATTATAATTCAAAATGTATTATGTGATGCCAGGCTCATAGTGAGTCTTATTTTCAACATTAATTACAAGAAATACCATTGTGTGAGGGCTTATCTCACCAATTTACATGATAACATGGATATGAGCAGTCTGTAGTTAAACATTTGTAAAACCAACATGTAATAGTTGTACACTTTATAAGGAGCTATCATCTTTAACCATTTTATTTATAGGTCGACCGGACCCAGGACAACTAAATCCTAGAGTCGATTGACTCGAGAGTTGAGACAGCAGGGTTGGCAGTATTATGCATGTAGGCGGGCAGCTTCGCGGGCGCTACCTTGTTTGTAGTCTTTGTTACGGAGTACTATAGACAGACTATAGTCCCACCATTTGAAGTTTTTATGTGATCTTGTCGTCATCTAAGCTTTCTTGGTCTCAGATAGGATACTTCATTCGTAAGCATTTAAACTACTCCACAATCCCAATTAAAAATCTCATCCTCCTTCGGATTTCACACGGTGTCTCGCTATTTTTTCCTAAGTTTCAGCGTACAAAAGAACAGAGTTGCTCACTTTCTCTCTCCTCTTTTTATTTTCTTACAACCTTTTGGATTCTGGGGTTCTTTTGTTTGTTCTGTTCATACTTGAATTATGTTGAATTGGGCATCAATTTTTTTTGATTTATAGGTTAACTTTCATTGTGATTGGATTATTGGGTTGAGCTTGATTTGTTCATCTGATCATGTCGATGCTTGATTCTTTCTTCGCTAAGGGGTTTAAGGGCTCTAAATGGTAACATTTCCTCTAATTTTCTCTTGTGTTCATTTCTTGGTTCTTGATCTTAAATACCCAGATGAAGTAACTGCTGTTTTTGCTTAATTATTGTATTGATTAAGCCAATTTTAGTTAGTGAAGTTGGGAAAATTGATTTTGTTTCATGAATTTGGACGACTTTTTGCTGAATTGTGGGGTGTTTATGTGGGTTTTAGGAATTCTTTTACGAGCTTATGATTTGTGGGTTTCTTAATGCCATAAATATGGAGGAATTTTTCTTGTTGTGATGGGTTTTCTTATAAATTGGGTCTAATCTTGTGACAGTAAAACGTTACTGAAACTTTCGATTCCGAGAATTAAGTTGCTGAGGAATCGGAGGGAGCTTCATATTAAGCAAATGCGCAAGGATATTGCGAAGCTTCTTGAGACTGGTCAAGAAGCTACTGCTCGTATTCGGGTTAGTGTTGTTGGGCTGCATTTGTGATTTTTATTGTTGCTTAAAAGAACATTGTTTAGCTTCTTTATTTCAATTATAAATATCCTTTACGTTTGATTTGTATATCAGGTAGAGCATATAGTAAGGGAAGAGAATATGATGGCAGCTCAAGAGATCATCGAATTGTTCTGTGAGCTTATTGCAGTCCGTCTTCCCATTATCGAGTCCCAAAGGTTTATTCTTACTCACCTTAGATCTGACTGTAAAAGAAGAGAAAATTGTTATTGTTCACTATCCCCATGTAGTTATGATTGATGTGATCAAATTCAGTGAAGTATTTGAACTTTAAGGTATGTAGTCCTTGCTGAAAGGTGCACCTGACCAAATCCTTAGCCTTGAATGCTCATCATACGTGTTAACTTTTGGGCATTCCATCATCATTAACTATGAAATTTCTTGATGCCAATCATCTGTGGGCACTCCCCTGCCCCTCCCTCTCTCTATTCAAGTAGAAGTTGGGTTGCCATTTGACTCTGAACCATGTTGATAAAACATGATTTATCAAGGGCACTAAGCTATTTGGCTATAACCAAACCCCTTGTCTGCCAATTTTCTTAAAATATACTATGATTTAGTGCATTAGATGAAGTGAAACATATTTTAATAAATTATATGTTGAGAGGAACCATGGGAATATAATTGTATTCATTTTATGATTATTACTTGGTTTAATAAAATAGTTTTTACTAGAACAAATAAGAGATATGCTCATATACTAGAAGATAAGAAATCTGCAACAGAACAAATGAACACCAAAAAGCAGACCAAGTCCTGTTCAGGATGCTGTTTTACAGGCCACAAACCTCATAGTTGATTCCAAGTATTAGTTTACAAATTTCAAGTCTCTCTGTTCCAGTGCTTCCTCCTAGATTTGATTCTTGCTTCATTGAATCTGGGAAATTTATATAGTCAATTTACTAAGAGTCATCATATCTTCATTTCCATTCTTGACTTCAATGGAGAAACTTTCCAGCTGTTGGATGGTTTTATAGGGGCTTTTTGGGTTAAATCGAAGAGAGGTTCCAACTTCCAAGTTTAATTTGCTTTAAAAGATCATAGTTATTTACAGTGTAACATATATCTAAATTCATATCAATTGGGGGGTTGGGGGAGGGGGGTGGAGGATGTAATCAATCTGAAATAAGTTGCCTCTTGGTGTATCACCTCTCTTCACTCATCTTTTGAAAGCATTTGAATGACTTGTATTCAAAGAGAATTTCCAAGGAAATAAGTATAAGTGTATTGCCCTTGGATTGCTGAAGAGTTTTCAAATTATCTTGAGGGAGGACATCACTCAAATAAAATGGTTAATGAATAACCTATTGGAAGGACATTTGTAACATATACGCCTATATATTTTTACACTGTTTTTCTGTATTGCTCTTTTTTTTTTTTTTTTTTTTTTTTTTTTTTTTTTTTTTTTTTGCTTAACTTTATGACCTAGGAGTGACTTCCTCCCAATTGTGGCTATCATCACACCTTTTTGTTCATTGAGGCCTTATATTGATCATTATGTATAGATGTTTCTTAAAAAATTAGTTGGTTGAGGTTTGTTATCTGCCTTCAGCTTAGGGTTGGAGGTATTAGGAGCTTTTTTGGGGCGGTGATCCACTCTTCTAGTTACAACTTTTAGCCTTTTGGTGTGCTTATGAGGCTCTTCACACTCCAAGAAAAAATGGTTGTATTCACATCTTCTTTATATTTCAACTCCATATTGTTTGGCCTGGTGTAGTTACTTGTAATTTTCTAAACATGATTTATCTGCACCTCTTTGGTACTGTATACTATTATACCCCCACTTCACTCTCTTTTTATTTCACCTAAGTCTGTGCAGCAGGTGCTTGACACCAACATTGTATTAACACTTGAGGTGTCACTTTTGGCATATAATGCAAAGCCCAATTAAGACCTGGACACTTAGCTGTATGTCTGTAACTCTGTATCCAACACTAGTCTTATTGATGAGTCTGAGGAACCTAGATTACACTTGTTTCATTTTTATCTTTGAGATCTATCAATTATTCTCAATTTGATCCAATTTGCAATACTTTACAGCTATGATCAAAGTGAAAAGATATGCTAGAATGAACAGGGTTATATGCAGTAATTTTGTTCATAATGCTTATGACAGTTGAAAGCAATGTCCCTTTAGTATTTAACTAATGTGCTTGTCAGATCCACTTCCTTGCAGGCCTCGAGCCAATTGCATCAGGTGCATGCATGATAATTGGGTTGTGGAAAATCTTGATAGTTGTCTAAATATCTAGAATAGACTTTAGTATCTTTCTAGCAAACATAATTTCCTTTCTGTAATCTATTTTTTTAGGGAAGCCTACCAACTAAAATTTTCAACTCAAATGATCTTTTAGATTCCTCCATTCTAATATACATGCCAAGATCTTCTTTCATATGCACGTGAATGGCAGAGCAATTTCTGCTCTGTTGTTTTTGTGGCCTTGACATTGATTCTGTTGTGCCCTTGTGGATGTTGTTTCATTGTACATATAGCTCTGTGTGCCATAGGAGTAGTTTCATTTGCATGTGGATGGCAGAGCAATTTCTGTTGTGCTGTTTTTGTGGCCTCGACACTGATTTTGTAATTCTGCTGTGCCCTTGTGGGTATTGTTTCATTGCACATATAGCTCTATGTGTCATAGGAGTAGTTTCCTTGCTTTGTGTCATTTCTTTGATCTTCCAGTTTGCCATGTTTTATTATGCTAATAATTCCTAATTCCTGAGAGGCTGAGAGTTATCTAAAATTCTAAATGGTGGTATGCTTTTCTGCTGGCAATGGAAGCTTTCAATTTTAATAGCAGTCCCTTAGTTTAAATGTATGAGTTGTCATATTTTTTTTAGGACTTCAAACTCATGCTCTACTGTTCCTATTCATAAATTGGTGAAAACTCCAATGGCACAATCTAATCTGGTATCTGAGCAACTTAACTTCTGAAAATGCTTCCTTTTCTTGACTTCTCTGATCCATCTGCCAATAATCAATATCAGTGCTGTAACTAATCCTTATATTTAACCAGGCACCAGCCCAACCTTGATGTTCCTTGCTAAACAAACAAGTAGGGCTCTCTTAAATATCTTTTTTAATAGGCGGGTGGGTGATAGCGGCGTAAATTACTTAGAAATTGCTTATTGTTTCTGCTTATTATTACCCTTTTTCTCCTGTCTATATTTTTTTAGATACTCCATGGGCTTTCATAGACAGCCTTGTTTTTAATCTAGCATGATTTGGGTTAAGGCTTGGTACACCAGACTTCCATTTACCCACTCCGATGACGTGTCCCATGCTAGGCTCTCATCATTGTTGTGGTAGATGTTAAAGTGGTTATCTGGATTCTAAATTTGTAAAGGATTTTATGCAAGGTTTTTTTTGGCGCCATGCAGCCATCAGTATCTGTCCCCTATGGCCCTGACAGGCTGACATCCTTCATTCTAGACTTTGCAAGTATAGCAGTTGATGCATTCATCTCCGTTATTATCCCGTCTGTTCCATTAGAGTCATAACATGAGATTATGTTTCTTTAGTATAATACTTATATTCATGTGCTTTTGTTTTGTTAGCATTCTTAAATTTTATAAGCCATCTGGTTTTGGTTGTTGATACTTTTTTTTTTTTTTTTCCAGGGAATGTCCACTAGACTTGAAAGAGGCCATATCTAGTATTTGTTTTGCTGCACCGAGATGTGCAGACTTGCCAGAGTTGCTGCAAGTTCAGATGTCATTTGCAGCCAAATATGGGAAAGAATTCGTTGCAGCTGCTACGGAGCTTATGCCGGATTGTGGTGTTAATCGGCAGGTCTTATTTTTGTTATTGTTGTGGTTTATATGAATGAGGACTTGCTAGTTGCTACGTATGTACAAAAATCTTAACAGCTGCTTTAATCACTGTGCAGTTGGTAGAGCTATTGTCTGTCCGTGCTCCATCCGCGGAAAAGAAATTGAAGTTGCTGAAAGAAATTGCCGAAGAGCATGAATTAGAATGGGATCCATCTCCTTCAGAGTCTGAACTTTTCAAGTCCCATGAAGATTTACTGGTGAGTATTATTACTCTGCAGACTTTTGAAATATTCTCTTGTGCTATTTGATTGTGAAAGATGCTTTTGTTCTTCACAGAATGGACCGAGACAGTTTGTCAGTGGCTCCAAAGTTCCACTTCCAATAGAAAAACATCATGAAGTTTCGCAATCTACTTCAGTTCAAGAAAGTGCTGCTGAGCCTTCTGAATCTGAAGAAAGTTTTGACGAATTAGAGTTTCCTGAAGTTCCCAAGGGATCACTGAGGCCAAGTGCCGATGCAGAAGTACTTGCTCCTCCTCCACAAAGTGAGATACATTCTTTCCCGTTGCAAAAGTCTAACATTGATCCTGAGGACACTTTATGGTCTGCCAAGCATGAACCCCCCAAGTCTTCAGCCACTCCTGGGGAGACTAAACAATTTTTGCCCTTCATTTCACCCCCGTCCTCTTTGCCATCAGCATCACTTCCTGTTAAAGAAAGCAGTCCACCCCCACCACCTTCAATGGCTTCAAAAGCCAAAATTGATGATTACTTAAATTTTCATGATGTATTAGCAGCTGCCAATGCTGCTGCTGATTCTGCTGAACGTGCTGCAGCAGCCGCTCGCTCAGCTGCTAGTCTTGCAGAGGCCAGAATTTCTGAATATTCCAAGAGTAAGAGTGGCATCCAGTCCCCTGATAGTGATGTTGAGAATCCATTTCATGCTAGTAACGATAATCTATCAGCTGCAACTGAAAAGCTACAACTGGATGACAGAAATGCTTCAGGTGATGATGATGTTTCCAATCCTTGGATCCCAGGTGAACACTTTGGAAATGACCAGAATTTAAATGGTTTAAAACATGCTACTAGTGATGAAGCTAGACTGGAGTCTGATTCCTATCCACCAGGAGAGCATGCTTTCAAACAAGAGGCCCCATACCCTCATCAGCCTCAGAGAATACCATCAATGGATGATGATCCAGAATTCACGTATCCTAACCTGTTCTCTTCACATAGTTCTGGAGACAATTCTCAATCAAGGCATGGGTCTTAAATAGAGGTGATGAAAGTTGCAGCGTTATGAGTGGCGACTACCTCCGGCATCTTAAGCCTGTTTAATTTTTTCATCCCCTCACACTTCCCTCATTCTTTAAATCAATCAGTTGTAAAGTTAAGTGTGCTATTTCCAAGTAATGACGTATGGCTTTCATTAATGCGATAGAATTCTGTTGCTTCTGATATGGTACGTTGAGGAGAAGTTTCTGTTACAGTTTTATAATCATGTACAGTGCCTGTATGCTATTTTTCTGTGGATTGATTTTGGTGTTAAGGAAATGTTGATCACAGAGTTTCCATTTTTATTAATTCATGGGTGGATTGTAACAGCGTAGCAAGGATTCAGATAGAAATCACCAGGATATGCAGATATGGTTATATGCAAAGTGTAAGAAACAACTACATAACAATGAAAACTTTTTCAAATTGAACATATAAAATAGAGGAGATGATAGGGGTACACTTTGTGTACAAATATCTTGATCCAATGACGTATAGAATTGGTGAAATAGACCTTAGACTATCATCACTCATGGTACAAAAATTTGTATCGTCCCTCCACATCATCTATACCATAATCAGCTCGTCTTGTGTGTGACTAGCCACATCGTGTGGCCGGTTGTAAAATAACAAAGTAACATTTGTAACATTGACGAAGTAACCCCTATACTACTGATAAAATAACCCCTGTACCACTACCAAGTAACTCTTTATACCACTGACCAAATAACCCCTATTGTACTGATTGAGTAACCCTTAAATACTAATGAAATAACCCCATTATTACTGGTCACACAGTGTGGCCAACCACATATAAGAATTTGTGTACCACAATATAATATAATATACTTTCTCCAAAAATCATCCTAATCATGGTATAAAAAAGTGTTATCATCCTCCCTTCTCTTTTCTTTTTGCTATACCCCACTCATCTTCTCTCTCCTACATATGGTATATACTACAATACTACATCATCCTTTTGACACTTAGCTCAATGTCATTCGCACCTTTATTTCAATCCTTAAATTCCAATATAACTCACGTGAGCTTCATCTTTTGTCATTTTCAAAGCAAAACACACCGTTTTTGTGAGCAACCTTTATGAGCCCTCATCATAGCGAGCAACCTTTATGGGCCCTCATCAAAGCGCATCACTTTGTGTCTGATGTGGCTAAAAAAAATTACAACAACCTATGGGTCTCACTCCACACAAACCAAAGCAAATTCTTTACCAAGTGATGGTATATACCATCCAATGGCACAACCATGGTAGTAATAATATCATGATTTGGAAGATGTTTCACACCGTAATATAAAATTATACCACGAGTGTTGATGCTCTTGGGATGCACTATGGAAGATGAACTAAACATGTGAACTTCTAAGAATTTTGCTGTAGTACTTAGACTACAAATAATGCAATCTTTGAGAGGATCATGGAGTGGAGGGATGGTTTGTGAGTTTGTCCCTCCATCTCCCTCAGGATTAACCTGGGTTTGATCCTCACCCCATCCCACCTGTGATAGGAGGGACACCCCCCGTATCTTACCGTGTAAAAATAATAATAATAATAATAATAATAATAATAATAATAATAATAATAATAATAATAATAATGCAATCTTTGAACCAATAAAACTTAAGATCATAATATATACAATATTTTAGAAAGTTATTCTACGTATTTTGATCATTAAACCAATTTTTTTCATTTCATAATCTCTTATTTAAAACATCAACATATTTATATTAGTACAATTATATCATCATACTTACATTGATACATTTCCAAGCTTGATGTTTTTATTTTCATGAAAACACAATTGCAAGAAAAACAAGTAAAAGACTACGATTCATTTCAAAATCAACAAAAACACTTACAATTTCGATTTTTGACTTTGTTTTGGTGATTTTTCCAGCAATTATGCAAATTCTTATCATATATTAGACATTGTGCTTGATTATTATACATAATTTTAACTTTTTACTAGAGTTTATTTGCAAATATTGAAAATTTTGATGAGAGAGAAAATGGGGAAATAATTTATTTTTTTTTTGAAGGAAATAATATAAAAAGGATGAAGAGAGAATTTAAATGGTGGTTCAAATTTTTTTTTTAATGTAGGATGTGGGGCATGGATTGTTACTGTACTACTGTAGCAAGTGGATACTGTTTTAGCGTTTTGCACGGGGTGTACAGTGTACAGGACCGGTCCAGGTCCGGTCCGATTTTGACCCTACACTAGGGTAGGCTGAACAATAGGCTCAACAATTAAAAAAAAAAACACCTCAACTTCAACTTCAGCAAATATTCAGCCCAAAAAATTGCAAAATATGCAAACGTTAAGCTGTTCTTGTTATCTCCCCCATACTTTCCCTTGCTATAAAAATGGCGGCACTCTCAATCTTCCATGGAAAAACTCCTCTCTTATCCTCTGTAGTCCGATTACCGATTTCACCGCCATTAAAGCTTCTTCTTCAGCTTCAATCGACAGCTTAGATGAAGATGATGGTGAAAAAGGAGAGAGAAAGACTAAAGATGCTGCGAAAGCGTCAGGAACAAGTGCTAGAGGAAGACGGCTCGTCAAATTGCGTGAAGAGAAGCACAGAAGAGAACATGACCGCCTCCATAATTACCCTTCTTGGGCTAAGTATTTTTCTATTTTTCTCTAATAACCTACTTTCTTCTATTGTTGGCCGAAGTTTGTATATTAGAAATTGAATAATAGAATGTGACATAGAAACAACTCGGGGCATTGCCCGGGCACACACTAGTTGAAATTGTAATGGGGTTATTTGATGATGATGAGCAGGGTTTTAGAAGATGCGTGTAAGAATGATTTAGAGCTTAGAGCAGTTCTTGGGGATAGTATTGGTAATCCTGAACTCATGCGCAAAAGGGTACTCTTCTTTTTCTCTGATTCTAGCCCTTTTGTATTACTCCGTGCTTGCTACTAGCATTCAAGCTCGTTGTGATGAACGATTTAATTGTAATGTTTTATATTGATTTTGGTGTTTCATTTTTTCTAATTTGATAATTGACTGTTATATTCTGTATTGGGTGAAAGTAACACTACTTTTGGTATAGGGACTTGTCAAATTCTGTATTATGAAAGTTCAGGACAATGTGATGAACTAATTTTGGGTGGAGGTAGTGTGCCTTAAAACTTGATTGGGTGATGTTTATCACATCTGAGTTGGGTTGGACTAATATATACAAGTAAATGATAACCAAATATATGGGAAAAGTATTGTACAAACCAAAAAAAAAAAAAAAAAAAAAAAAAAAAAAAAAAATGTGAAATTGTTGCTTGAAACAGTTTGTATTAATGTTAGGACAGATTTTTTAATCTTTAATGATTTATCGTTGACAAATGAAGTTTAATGTCTTTAATGCTTTATCCTTGACAAATGAAGTTTAATGTGTTTACGTTATTGGAGTTTTTGTCCGTAAGTTTGCTGCCTTTTGTGTAAAGAAATATCCATGAATTGTAGAACAAGTTTCAGTTCCCTTCAATAAGAAACTTGTGGATTGCTTCCTTAACTTACAGAATTGTTGATTGTCAAGGAGTGAGTCCCTGGGCATTAGTTAAGCTTCTAACTGCTGGTCTGCTTGTTTTCCAATTTTAATGGAACACTTTGGTAATGTACATCACAAGATTTGTAGAACCAAAACATGTTACTTAGTTGTTTTTTAAATTTTCAAATAAGTATGGATATTTGAGATGTCTTAGACAACTTTATTTTGGTCATTATTATTTTTGTATCATTATGTTAGTCTTTGCTAATATCTTGTTTTGGTCAAGGAAAGTCTGTAATGCATTGTAAATTGTTAAAAAGGTTGAGGAAAGAGTAAGGAAGAAGGGGCGAGATTTCAAAAAATCCAAGACAGGCTCTGTCCTTGCCTTCAAAGTCAGCTTTAGAGAGTAAGTTAAAAGCTTTGTTCCAGAATTATCTCCATGCCGGTGTCTTTTGCTGTACTTGATTTATGCTTCGTAGATAAATTGTACTTTTTTCATCCTTTGCTTTAAAAAATTTCTTTTTGAGATGTCCCGAAGCATTTTTCCTCCTAAAAAAATGTGTAATTGCTACATGTAGGGGAGACATACATTTTAAGTAGGAGAGAGATAGAGAGAATCAGAGATTACAATTCTAGAAATGGATGTATTGAAAAAAGTGCTGTCCTAAATAAGCAACATAGGGCAGGGGGCAGCTCACTACCCAACTTATATCAAGTAGCTACCGAGATGCTTCCACATTCCTATGGAGGGTAAAAGGACTTTGTTACACCCTAACTAAAGAATCATCCTTGTTTATGGATTCTATTCAAGAAGAACCAACTAGCATCTGTAACTTACTTTGATTGGCTTTTGTACAAGGCTTTTAAGTTTTAACTCATTAGCTGTCATACAGTTTTGAACCTTTGATATGATCATATGATCTATTGTCTTGTTGAAGATACTCTGTAGTCAATGGGGAACTTGTAGGTGTTGTAGCTTTCTTTAGTTTAATATACATGTATAGTGTTATAAAGTATGTTATACATATAATTACATGTGAAAGTATTTGAACAGTAGGCATTGTATGCCTGATATCTGTATAACGACTATTTCTTTTAAATGCCGAGTACAGTAGAGGAATTTAGTTGTTAATATTAATGTAATTTTAGCTCATCTCATGTTTATTTCTATGGTGGTGATTTTAGCTTTGTATTTTTGTTGTTTTCCCTTATCACTTTTCTTACTGTCCCTGAACCTTGGCAGCTTCAATCCTCTAGACTCGTACATCTGGGTGGAACTATTTGGATCACCATCCGATCGGGATGTCGATCTGTTTGGAAGTGTAAGTGATATTTTTTGTCACTAAATCACTGGACCTTAGCATTTGGCTGTGTGGATCAATCTTCTCCCATGCTCTTTGTTCTATCTACAACTCATTAATGTTGTCAATATATTAGGTTATTCAAGCTTGGTATGTAATGGGACGCTTAGGGGCTTTTAATTCCTCAAATTTACAGGTACTTTCCTTTCAATTTTTCCTTCGTTTGGAGAGGTGTGAGTGTGAGGTTGCTGAAATCTCATATTGTGTGTATATTCATCTTGTATGGTGTTGATAGTTGTAATCAGATTTTTTAGTTATGCAGCCTTCATTACTTATGTATGTGTTCGAGACAGAATTAACATTACAGACTTTAAGATTTACATGAAAGATAAGGCCATATTGGTTATCCTGGCCTTTGAAAGTGGATGTGTTTTTTGTAAAATTATTCTATTACTTTTCTACAAAAAAATCAGAGAAGCAGCAAATTTTAATGTTTTTCACAATAATGAGTTGGTCATTGTGGTTAGATTGGTTACTATTTGCAGTAGTTAACTTCAAGGATCTTTCCTCCCATTTGTGCATGCAAAATGAAGATGAAAAGGTGTAAGAAATGCTCGAATTGATTAAACATGCATTGAAAGATATCTGGAATAGTTGGCGTCTTGACACTCCCCTCCCCCCCCCCCCCCTTTTTTTTTTTGGCATTTTAGAAATTTCTCAAGCATGCATATTGAAAACAAGCATGCTAATTGCTTGGGCTTTAATCTTCCGATTTGCATTGTATAGCTAACCATGGGAGAAGAGATTGTAGAATGATTTGGTTAAGTTTGGTGCTAAGTAAAAACCTGAGAGATTGTGATGGTTTAGTTTTCACCATCTGTTTTCATTCTCTTAATTTACGATGTGCTTACAACTGTACAAATTTTAAAATAGTGTGTGCTGAAGCTGCAAGTTTCATCCTAAAATCCTGGTTTTGCTGCTGAGCATGTTGTTCATTGCTAATTTGAAGCCAAGATGCTCTAAGCCCAGAAAAAGTTATTTATTTTTTAATTTATTTTTTCCTATGACACATCAATGCTATGTCTTATCATACATCTGTTTGAGTGAACTTAAGTATTGAACCAGAACTAAAAAGGTGAAGCTAACCCTAATTGACAAAACCATTGGTCTTAAGAGTGATAAGAGTATATGACAAACTTGTTAATTTGTTAAGGGAGGCAGTTTGTTTTCTCTGGATGTAAGATTACTCTTGGAATATGAAGAGTGGTAAACTGGTAATAAATCTTTTACTTCTTGAAATACATTCATGCTTGTCTTAGTATGAAAGGATGTAGAAAAGGTTAATTTTGTGTCCCTTTTACTTTCATCAATATTCTCCCCTCCTGTTTGACTATCTAGACTCGAGGAGAAAAGAACCAATCAAAGCATGAAAGCTTCCCATTCATCAGCTATCTCGTTTATAGTGAACTATTATCTTTTCAATGATCTCAAAGCATTAAATTTGCTTTATTAAGATTCACTGATGAGGTGGTATTAATTAAAGATCTTTTGTGCACTTCTAGTTGGCGAGTACCTCAATGGAGTATGACCCCCTGTATGATGCTGACAAAGCTCTTAAAGTAATGCCTTCTTCATTCCATGATATTAGTGATGTTGAATTTCAGGATAACTGGGGGCGATTTTGGTATGAGTTGTAGGCTCTCTTGGCATACTTCTACCTAAATCTCTGAAATAGTTTATAATGCTAATCATCTTCAATCTGTGATTTTAACAGGGTAGACCTTGGAACAGCTGATGCTTTTGCCATCGATGTCCTGCTGAATTGCTTGACTGTATTAAGCTCAGAGTAAGATTTCTGCCTAAGCTTTCAAATTCATGACTTAAATATATGCCATCATTGCTTCTAATGATTTTGCTATACTGTATAAAGTTTTGACATCATTATGTCCATGTTAAGTAAGCAATGTTTCATCTGGTGCAGGTATCTTGGTATCCAGCAGGTAGTTTTTGGTGGTCGTAAAATGGGTGACTGGGAAGAAGGAATGACTAATTCTGAGTTCGGTTACAAGTACTTTAAGATATGAAGTGGATTTAGTTTTCCGGGATCTACACCGACGAGGGTATAATAATTATGCAGAGGTAAAGAGGATTACTGCTTCCACTCCCCTTTAATGACCGATAGAAAGGAAATATATTAAGTTTTGGTGTGGTCCAATGAATGAGTATGGGCTAAAACTGCAATAAATATTGTTTAAAACTTCGAATAACATGATGTAAAAAACAATTAAGAATAGTTAGGTTTGCATTTGATTTTTGTTTAGATAATTTTCATCAAGCCCCCGTAAGTGCTAACTGCTAACTGCTTGCATATTACTTGAATAATTTTGGTACTCGATTTCTTATGCTTAAATGCCTGTTATGAAATTCAAGCTCTAGGACTAGGCTCTAGAAACCAGATAGAGTACTTGTGGCACTTTGCTGTCAGCATTTTGTACTAGTCAGCTTTGTCTTTGGCACTAAATATTTTCCCAATTCTTATTAAAACTATCCCCAGGTTCCTTACTAGTGGTGTTTTCTATGCAGAGCGATAAGAAGACGGTAAAAAAAAGAAAAAGAAAAAAAAAAGGATAAGAAGATGGTAAAAATCCTCAATATCAGGAACACCGCATCATATCCTGAACTAAGATCTCATCATCTTCATCATAAGGTGTGACCAGAGCCTTGTTAGCTTTGATTGGCAAGAAAACACCTACAAACAACAGCTCTTATCATAGGGTGCTTAATCCAGAAGGCGTTGCATTGCTTGACAAGACTTTTTTGCTTTGGAAGCTGCTGCCGGTCAAATCTTCATTGTACGGACAGAGAAGCAAATGTACTCAAGCTATAGACGTGTTTGTCAAAGACAGTTGAACCCATCCCCAGTCCTCAAGCTTTGCTCATGACAATTAGATACTAGAATCTCGTAGTAATATGATAATATCTAATATTGGTATAATATCTTCTCCCGTTAAATAATTTGATGCGCTTCCTGTACTTCACCCTGTCTGTAGATGAATTTGTAACTAAATTTGATGCTAGGTCAGCTAGTATGTCATTTATTGTATAGTTAAAATATCCAAATTTTCTCTAGTTTGAACACCTTACACAGTATATCAAAATAGCTTCTGAATTCTGAAACTTTTTTCACCCCTTTCCATCAGATTCGGAAATGTAAAAGCAAATAAACAGGGCAATTTAGAGCATTCAATTGGAGAAGATACGACTGCATCAAACAAGACAACCAAATTCAGTGATAACCAGGTTCTAATCCCCCAGATGAACAAACCAATCTATGAGCTATGATATATTGTGATTTTCACTGCAATGTTTTGTTACATCTTTTCCATCAGCAGACCTATTTCGTTATCTTATATACTGGAAAAAACTCTTATATTGTTCATAAGCTGAGTCAGTTGCTATTAAAAACTCAATTTCGAAATGATTGAGAGCTTTGCTTCCTGGCTGACCAATACCAAAGACCTACAATACAGAGTAATATGCACATAACGCGCAACCATTAACAGTAATGAGCTACATATATCTGGGATACATAATCATACACAAGGAACATAAGTGGAAAAAAGACCTCCACTGCGCATATGGAGCATACAGAAATCAAAGGCAGTCTCAGATATTTTGGTTGTTTCTTGAAAAAGACAAAATGGAACAACCTACTCATGAAATGGTCACACAGCTGAGTATGACCTTATGAAAGCTGTTAAATATTATTTTTATATAATCAAAATGACCAGCATGTGATGATTTAAACTTCTAAAATTGCCCCTAACTGTCACAGTTATGGAGCTGGAACCCAGGATGAAACATCAGTTTGTTTGTATTGAGCTAATACTATGGTAAAAAAATCTAATCTAATATTTGAACGTGAACATCAACCATCCTCTGCACAAAACAAATGAAGTCAATAATAAAGGCTCAAAAGGAGTGTTAAAAGCTGTAATATTACTAATGCAAGAATATGCTCCACCAACTGGGGGATCACAAGTATCTTTTGTCAAGCACCAGTATCTTATACACCTAACAAAAAAGGTGGGTGGCGCAACAGCCTACCAGCAAAACTCAGCGCCGTCCTGAACCAGAAACATTCTGCATCTGTCGAAGTTGATCAAGAGTAACCAAAGACCATTCTCCCTGGACTTGAGCGTAGATTTTCTGATGCAAGGAATCCACAGTAATGCTTACACTACCAAAGCTATATACTTGGTGATGATTGTGTAATCTCCCAGGTTTAGGCTTGAAGAGCAAGCCTAGCTGCTGTGCATAGGCCTCAATAACTTCTTTCAAGGTCTTAGGCACATCATCTGTTTGCTGAGTGGCTTTCATCTGAGCCTCAAATTGTCTTTGTTCTTGCACCCTCATATAGCTAATGTTCTCCTTCACACCAGGTTGAACCATCTCCAAACCTTCAGCAGCCTGGTTCATTAACTCCAGGCCTTGGTTTAGCTGCTTCCGAATCCGTTCATTCGCCAAAAGTTCGTTAGGAAAAAGATCTTTCCATCCACTGTACCATTTCAAAACCTCTTCAAAGTTTGGGCTTGTACAAAGCCAGTGGTACAAAACTTGCTTCCATTTGTTGAAGAAGTGCAACTCTAGTAAGCAAACCATATGATGAATGGGAACTGCAGAAGCCCAAGTCATGACCCAGTAAAACTGATCAAGTTTCTGATTAGCAGGATTGACTTGAAATTCCTTCATCACATCTATCAACTTGGGAAGGATGGACCGGGAAATTAGTTGTTCCCAACTTGAAGCATCAAATACTGTCTTCCAAGGTGATAGAATAGTATAGGCTGACATATCACTAGGATGCCATTTATGAAGAACCGTTCCTAATTTTATACGGATAGCTTGATAGAGAGACTCCAACTTCTGTCCAAGTAATGGAAGCCAGGGGTGCACCCACACATGGATCGGTATTGTTTCCCTGCAAGGTTCCCAAGAATTCACAGCTTCAGATAACTTAGGCATCACAACCATATCAAGCAGTGACTGTAGCACAGAACGCGGAAGCAATTTCTCCCATAATTCCAGAAATCGGAGCATAGGCTCTGGATCTCTAGCCTGCCAAGTGTTTATTCCTGCTATTCGAACTGCCGGAAACACTACTTCAGACACCAACTGTGAATACGGGGTTGATGCATCCTCAAAAATATCATAATCCTCATCTCCCTGCAACAAACCTTTCCACAGAGCTACAACATCCATGCCGTGGGATGGGTTCTGAAGTGGATCCCATCCTTGAAATACTCTAATTAACAGAGGAAGAGCAAGTGAGCAAGCAATGCAAGACAAATTACCGAGTTTATATTCTTCTGGAAACCTCTTCTGAAGGTCTCCAAAGGATTTTGCAAGGGACTCTAAAGTCAACCTCCCCAATGTATTCTCCTCCTCAATACTATCTAGGACCTGCAATACCTCCGTCATAGAGTCAATCTGCTTCTTCTGTCGTGCAGCATCAATCTGGTGCAGTTCCTTCTCCTTCTGCAATGCAACAACAGTTTCTCTCTCATTCCTCAAATCCCTGTCCATCTTCTGGATGTTAAGCTCTGCCAAGTCTACTATCAATCTGATATTGTGCTGAAGCTCTGGCATGGGAATATCACTTTCCCTATCTTTCTCCTCAGCATTCAGATTTTCCAGATTTGTTAAAACCCGGACCTGGGGTCCCCTCATATCCACCACCTTTTGAAGTACCAACTCTGGTCCTTGTGCCTCCTCCTTCATAGCTAACAACTCATCCGCAGTGAGAATATTCTCTTTCTTCTTAACACGAGCTCGAGCTTGTTTCTTCCAGAGTTTGTCCTCCCTCTTCAAAGACACTTGCTTTTCCTCTAATTCAGGAGGTGGAGGTACATTATCCAAAGTTGGCAAGTTCTTGCTCTCCTTGTAATCATCATACCCCATCCCCATACCCTTCGGCCTCAACTTTGCCTCAATAGGAGCAACAATACCTTGCTCATTCTTCCCCAACCCACCACCTTTATACCCCATCTTTTCTAGCAACTTCAGTCCGATTCCTTTCGTGTGCTTCTCAAACACCCCCACATTCCCCTCCAACCCATCCGAACCTCTCTTTGCTCCCAACTTAGACTTACTCCCCTTACTAACCCCAACCAATTTCGACTTCTCACGCCGCTTTTCAGCCCCTTCCTTAATCTTCTTCCCAAAACCAGTCGGCAAGAACGAATCCTCCTCATCCTCTACCCTCTCATCATCAACTTTCCTACCTCCCAACCCTTTCTCCCCTAGATTACTCGAACCGGCCCCAAACCCCAACCCAACTCCGGCATTCGCCCCAGCACCTAACCCGAGCCCGGATTTAAACCCATCTACACCCTCCTCCTCCTCCTCATCAGGATTCTCAACACCCTCCTTCTCATTAAGCTCTACCTCCTCACTAGGAGCAACAACCCCAGTAGAAATAAAATTAACGGGTTTCGAATAATCGGCTTTCTTAATAATCCCCCCTTTTTTCCTTTTCTTCTTCCCAGAAAACGAATCATCATCTTCTTCAGAAGAAGTACCATCAAATATACCATACAGTGATTGATCCTTAGATTGAACTGATTTTTCTTTGCGTTTTTTATAAAAAAATTCATCCCCAATATACTGACCCCCCTCGAAATCATTATCCATCCCAAATTTCTCCATTTCTTGATAATCATCCATTTTTATTGAAATCTAACAACCTCAAAGAACAATTACAATAGAACTAAAAACCCTAAAAATTAAACCTTGAAATTTGCTAATTGGGAAAAGGGTAGAAGAGGGTACCTTTGTTGGCGGGCGTTCACAATCTCTTTCTTACGCTGCTTAAACTAGCTTGGAGGAGAGAGAAAATCGACAATGGAGAAGAAAAGAGAGGGAGAATGGTGGTAATTTCAATTGAGTGATTTGGTGATTTTTAAGAGTACTTTTTCGTAAAAAACGAGTTTATGAAACAAAAATTAGTTGATGGATAATTTCGTCAGCTGTGACTCTGTGAGTCGGTTTGTAAGACTTCATTATGGACTTAATGGTACTCCCTCTCAAAAATACTTTGTACTCTCAGCGCGTCATGTGACCCTTGTTAAAGAATAACCCTTAATTACTGTATTAACCGAGTAACCCTTATAAATTTGACCGTATAACCTCTAAAGTAGGCTAATCATACGTGTAAAAGTTGGTGATTTGATTACATATAAATATAATTTACAAATATAAAGAAATTTAGCCGAAAAATAATACTCTTATCCCACCGTCAGCCCGCCTCACACAACTTCACTCTACCACAATCACTACCACCACGGCACCTGCCGCCACCCTATAGAAATTGCCACCTTCTACATCAACCAAACTTCTCTTTCTTCTCATATGAATTCTGTAGACAAATTATAAAAATAGTAGGGTTACAAAAATTTAATTTTTTTTAATAGGGGTTACAAAAATCTTCTATTTTTTTTTTTATTACTTTGTTACTAAATGCTAATCATTCATTAATTACATTAATCATTGAATACATAGTATAATATAAATTGTAAAATTTTATTATAATTTTCAAAAAAAATATATAATCTGTACAAAAAATATTGGAAGGGCAACTGATATAAGTATTTCTAAATGAGCATATAAGAATTAACAAAAGAACATAAATATTGTCTGCAGAGTAGGTCTTGAATATATTTAAACCAGACGAAGTACTTAATTAATTCAAAATTATGAAACTATGCAAGTGTAATTAAAAGATCATTAAAAATTGTCGACAGCTACAAAATTGGATTACACGATTCACTTATACAAAGGGTTACATTGCCATGGAAGCAGACTGATTCTATAGTATTTCAGGTACCCATCAAAATCATACACCCCAACAGGTAATTCTATGGTAATCTCAACCTTCTAGCATCTAGCTTGCTTCCTTCAGCATTGTCATAATACCACACATGCATTTCGATCTCAGATTGAGTGCCAGTAGAATTATATGCATCTCCCACACCGAGGCTGGGTGATGCAGTTAGTTCAGATTACTGATGTGGTGCTACCATAGTTGATCGTCAAGATGAATCAGCAAACAAGTATTTGATCAGGGGAGCAACTACTGCTATGCTCAAACTGTTACCAAGCATCGCATAACTGTAGAGTGTCATAGCACACAAGTATCAAAAAGTTGAAGAAAACAATAGATTACAAAATGAAAGATACACAGGTATAGAAATCGACATACATTAAAGGTGTATTGTGTATATAACACTAATAGTGGAGTACTCCATCCATCGTTGTACGTATGCTCCAAGTACCTCTTACAAAGTTGCAATATGCAAATGGAGCATACTTCTAAGGACATAGGGAGTGGCTTAACAAGGCAAAACCACTAATCCGTTTCATAATTATATCTCAATAACCTTAATTGTATATTCTACTGCTTTACCTTCAATAAATTGCTATTCCCTATTATAATTGCATACAACTTCCATAATTAGTACTGTACAATTTGCCACACCTTATTCAATTAGACAGACAGCAAAGTAGTAGTTATCCATTAACAGCTAGTAAATTGTTAATCACTAATAGAGCAGCGAACCAAGCCTATCCAACTTGATACGTAATAGTCAGGCTATTTATGTTACAACATGAGAAAATTGTCCACACTATATTCCATACACATCAAAAATCAAAAAAAAAATTATAATTTACACAATAATGCATTTTCTTTCATATATGGGTACTTCCACAACGAAAATTTTTAAGAAAAATTACAACAAGGAATGTCAAAGTTCAAAGTGTTATTATTAGGGCAATGAGATTCTTTTCTAAAAGACAGAGGAGCAAGATATAGAACAAGGTCCATCCCAGTATCCTATGGTCACTTCAAAATCATACGCAGAACAAAATTATCAAAAAAATTGAATAAAGATATATACGTAGTATAACTTACCGTTGCCTGAGGCTTACATGCTCGGGAAAGGAAAACTCCTTCGGAAAAGAATGCAGGTTGGCAACCTAATGACACCAGAAGATACCACCTCTTAATCCATAACAACAAGAAAAATAAACAAGAGATGTGATGGGAAACACACCTCTCTCGGGGTGAAATATCTAAGGCCCTGGCTCTCTAATGAAGATTCTTTACCCTTCACCTTTGGCTGCATAAAGTGCAAATATAACAAGTACTCAATAGCATATTTTGCAAAGCTAAACCATATAAACAAATTAATTTGCCAACAGCCACTTTGGAACTGCCATTACATCCAATATAGTTTGATCCAAGCAAACTGCTAAGACTGTATCAAACCATTGAGGGTGCATCATTTATTTTTCCCTTTAAAAAAAATACAATAGTGTTCTAGACTTATAAGGTTTGATTGAGGAAGCATATGGACACATATGCCTTCATAAGAGTCACTTTCAGCTGAAAAGTACTTCTTAGGTACATAAAAAGTTGCTTGGTGTTGCAGGTGACATCAGTTCTGATCGAAAAAAGATAGATGCACTTATACAAAACTAATCATATAACACTTAGCAACAATAAAATACGGAGTAAGAGAGTAAAAACACAATTCGAGACCCCATCATCTATTACAGGGGCCTCAAATTATGTAGTTCAAAATTACACAAGAGCTAGACTGCTAGAGGCTTAGTCTCATTTAATTATAATATATAGTATACAAGTTATATGATATTATTTATTCAACTGAATAAATATTTATTTTTACATAATACAAATGCATGACTAGCTAAAATTACAAATAGAATATTCATTTATATTTATTTTTACATAATACAAATGCATGACTACGTTCTGACAATTTAAAGGGAAGCTTCACAGCATCAACCTGCAAATCAAATTAATTCAGATTGACTTGCTCAAATCATCCTTTGAACCATAATCGTGAAACACCTTAGATAGCCATAACAAAGCGGCCATAGCTACTAATACCACAACAGATGTTACTTTACTTGTTTTAAGTTTACATTTTTTAAACACCAATTTACTATATGTATATGATGTATTACAAAATAAATTCCGAATAAACAGGGCATGAAAATAGCAAGTCTGAAAGTGTAAAACAGCAGAGGACATACTTGGATTGTTGCCAAAAGGGAGCCAGTACCCTTGACATAACGATAATAGCTCTTCGTAAAACAACAGCATCGCTTTGAATCCGGATATACAATATCTATTATTTTGTAAGGAATGCACCAAGGTGGTAAATATGCAGAATGTATCTGGAACACAGAGATAAAAGCTATTGCAGCCATTAAAAGATAAGGAAATCAGGATACCCATAGCACTTCCCCACCTTTCTATCAAGCTCAGAGGAACAGAATACTGATCCATCGAGTTGCCATCAGACCCAACCTTTATGTCCCACCTTTGAGCAGATTTACATGAACTGGGAGAACAATTTACATCATCCGAACATCCTGATTGTGTTGTATCTTGATTACTGTAATTGTCAAATTCGAGAAACATATGTACAGGCTCACAAGACATGAACACACAATCCTGGCTCTCCGGTAATTGCTGAGGTGCATTGCTTGTCAACTCATCATCAGTTCCAAACAATGCACTTGGTGTGTAAAGCAGTTTATTATTAAAACTTGGATATTGAAAACATGAAGGATTCCTTTTCGCCTACAATTGACAAACCATGAAGATCATGAATTAATTCCAAAATATCATCAAACCCAGCCCACAGACCAAACACAAACCACAAAATTCCATCTTTAAGCATAAATTGACAATATTTGCTGCTGCTCAGTCCCTATAATAATTGTCCATCCAAACTTTCATGATTCATTATCAAGTATGCTTGGACACTATTTGGAACATGAAAAGAAGATAAAAGGGGATAAGACTATGAGGAACATATGCAGAAAGAATTGCAAATTTTTAACTCAAGTTTCAAACTTGACAAATTACTTTGAATAAGTAAGACAAACTATAAAGCCCAAATTTAACTATAAAATCTCCTAAATAAATGTGTTACCAGAAAAAAGTTACTAGCGGGCAGTTTAACTTTGAAGATCCTGTGTGCCACTACACCATGCCAGCATATTTAATATTAAAGACATTAAGTTGACTCTTTAGTCTAATTGATTATACAAATTTGCAGCATTACTGACAGCAATCACACAGCAGGTTCACCACAAAATTTCAGCTGAAGGACAGGATCATATGAACCAACTAACCAAGTAGTAAAAACTTTTAATTTCTAGCACATATAAATCCACACTCCACAACATTCACACCTAAAAGGACTCAGGGACCCAAGATCATGAGAAGCCAAGTCATTCTGAAATTAACCAAACCGACTCTTGACTAACTTAGCATTTGAAGGATACACACATGATGGTAAGCCTTTTCCAGAGAACTACAGAAGCAATGAAGGAACTCAATGTCCTTTTACTGAAACCAGGGAGCTCAAAGTTCATCAAATTACTCCTCCTCTTTTTATCCCTATACTGAGTGAATGTGTGTGTGTGATTGTGTGTGTTCATGCATATTTTAGGAAGAAAAAGAGTGAGGAAAGACAGTAAAAATTACCAGACAAAAGTAGCGTGGCCTGGAATACGGCACTCCAAATTGCAATGGGCTTAAAATGAACTCCTGAGTAAGATAACCTGTTTTTGCCAATACTGCAATCATCTTGTAATGAGTATCAGATGTCTGCAACAAAAAGGGAAAGAATTGAATAAAGAATTGTTATAACAAACCACTAAATGTCTATATTCAATCCTATGAAGCATACCTCAAACCCCACAACATTTTCTACGAAAAGCATGAGTGGAGCACTGGACAGCTGAGGTATAAGCTCAAGAATGTTTAGGAAGGAAAATGCCCGAGCATCACTTGAGTCCCTTTGGAGGCCTACACATAGATTATTTAGACAAAATCCAGCAAAAATATGCTATTAATCAAATATTAGACCATCCACCTTGTCTCGTATAAGGTTGACATGGCGGGGAAAGGAGCCAAACATGTGCTTGATATTTATCAAGATCAGCTGCACTCAAACTTTGAATGTTACCCTGTAAACAAAAAGAAGCACTTCAATACCAACCAGCAATTGTATCCAAAAGTTCATATTTTTGAAGCTCAGAGAGCTCAGTTTTTAAAACTATAAATTATATATATGCAATTGAACACTGGCATATTCAAGCTTGAAGAAAAATGAGACCTAGGAAATTCCTATATATCTCGAAACAAGAACGTCTCTTTTTTATGCATAGGTGAGGTGAGACCACTGAGATGGGTTCTCAACACAGGTTTTTGGGGAAGGACTACTCTATCTTTGAGAGTGGACTCAATTTTTAAGGACATGACAAAGGATTAATATGAATCTCTGGCGTTCAAAATATGTCCCTACATTGGCTACATACTACAAGTATATAACTTGAGGATGTGCTTGGATTAGGGGTAATGCAATAAGAGGGTAATGGAGTTAAATCAAAGAGAATAATAATGAGTTTGGGTTGTGGTATAACGGTATAAGGGATGATATAAATAATGTAAGAAGAGAGGGAGGAAAGGAAGGTAACGTATTACCCCCAAGATGAGAGTACATTCCCCCCACATCTGTCCACCTTCATTCTCTTAAATTTTTCCTTCTATTACTCGCTAAATACATTAGCCCCAATCTAAGCATGCCTTCAGAGTAGACTTTATATCCTCCCATGTGCCTGCCAAGTACCACCGCGAACCTCCAAACAAGGATATTTTTTAATCACTTCTCTATAGTATCTCTTGTAAGTCATTAAGATTAATTCTATATTATGAAGTACTTTGTACATAACAAGGAAGTTGATGCTCATGCTACTAGAAATCTTTTTTCAACCAATTTCCACAATATCACTTAAGTTCAATAATCTTATACATAGTCTTCCTTCCTATGAGATTACAATCAAAACCTTTAAAAGTTTCAAAATGTCCTTACCAGAACACTAACTACTACTCCCACCATCCAAAATTAACCCCATAATTTGAACTCGTAATGTGACAACTAAATCCGGACCAAATTAGTACTTCATACTAAGTATATGCAATTAAATTAAAGTTGGATCAGAAACAAGCCAATTAATTCAATTTAAAGACAGAACAAAATACGGTATTAATTAAGGCAATACCTGAAATGGGCGATGCCCAAAATTATGCTGGTAAACATCATTTGCAATATCATTAATTTCAAAAGCTTGAACAACTTCTGCGTTAACCCCAGATTTCATGAGCGAATATCTCTAAATTTCAAAGCAAAATATGTCAGTAAAAGGGAGGAAAGAGCAGGTTATACAGATAAGAAAAAGAGAGAGAAAGAAACCATGCCGCCGATGCCACTGTAGAATTCGAGGACTTTGAGAGGCTCATCTTCGAGTCTTTGTCTGCTAAAACCCTCCTGCTCCATTGATGGACCAACAAGCTTACTACTTACACAGAGCAACGCCTGTTTTTCTTGACACCCCGATTGGTTCACTTCTCTTTTCACTATGCCCCGAACAAGTTGTGATTTGTGATTTCATATGCATAACTTTTGCCATGTTGCTTTATAAAAGTTAAATTTACCCTAAGGGGCAATTAAAAGGTACCAGGGGAGTGAATATAGAGTGAGGCGAGAAGGGCATGACAATATAGCCACGTCAATGGATTGTGTATGGTGGATGAGACAGTGTCCTAAACTTTTACTTATAATAAAAAAAAATAAAAAAATATCTTTAAATGAGGCTATTGCCATGCCACAACTAAATATAACACCAAATTGAAATGGTCTATGGCATGACATGACACGCTATTATGTATGGGTACTTATTTGGATAAGCGTGACAAAACATGGCATAACCCGACACAACAAATTTGACTTTGGTGCGTAAGCATGACATGACATGACACGATACAACACGTTATAGTGGCACATTCACTTTGGTCATGCCTAAACTAAGCTTTTTATAAATTTTGAAATGGCACAAAGGCAGTGGTCTCAGTTGTGGATCATGCCAAGTTGGGACCAAAGCACGCAAGCCGAGCATTAGGCATGGCCCACAATCATCTTTAGGCATAACAAAGTGAGTCGAGTTGTGCATGCCCTCTATATATAATAATGTTGACATGACTTTTACTTAGCCAATTCGAGCCTACATTATTTTTGCACAAAACTTGTTAACTTGATTTATGAATATAAGATAATTGGAAACCAAACCATGAATTTGTCAAAAAGTTATAGATTCTCAATTTGTTACTTTCTCGCTTCTTTTATGGTTGCAACATGTTTATTTATTGGTTACTTCAATATGTTATTGTTGCACTTATTCATTTTAAAGATACAATTGAAGAATGAATAAGTTGTTTAAAGTATAATATCCACATTACAAACAATTAACATGACACAATTGACTTTAGATTTAGGAATTGATAGTGGTCATTTTCAATTTTCACAATAATTTATTTAAAAATTTGAAAACTTGTTTAGTTTTAATTTTCAAAACCATTAATACAAAACTATTGCCCTAGTGCACTATTTTATGTTTTCAATTTCCTGATTAGCCCGTTCTTATATTTAATAAATAAAATTAAACTTACAAATTTGCTAGTGCTAATGATTAATTAATTCCAATTCAAGATATGCTAAGGTCCCGTTCTTTTTACCTTAAATAAAAATATTCAATAAAATTAATTTGAATCCAGTAAAAATAATTTCTTTTCATTAAAAATAAGTTCAGTTCGGAAAAATAAGTTTTAACAAAACAATTAAGATGACACAATTGACCTTAGATTTAGGGATTGATAGTGGTCATTTTCAATTTTCACTTTTCACAATAAATTATTTAAAAATTTGAAAACTTGTTTAGTTTTTATTTTCAAAATTTTCAAAACCATTAATACAAAACTATTGCCCTAGTGCACTATTTTATGTTTTCAATTTCCCTATTAGCCCGTTCTTATATTTAATAAATAAAATTAAACTTACAAATTTGCTAGTGCTAATGGTTAATTAATTCCAATTCAAGATATGCTAAGGTCCTGTTCTTTTACCTTAAATAAAAATATTCAATAAAATTAATTTGAATCCAGTAAAAATAATTTCTTTTAGAAATAAGTTCAGTTCGGTAAAAATAAGTTTTAACAAAAGAACAAGTATAATAGAGAACCAGTAAAAATAATTTGGATTCAATAAAAAAAAAAAAAAAAATTGAGTTACATAAACAATAATTTAAGTTTAGCAAAAATAATTTTAATTCAGCAAAATTAAATTTCAGTTTGGCATAAAGAAAGTGAATAAAAACAAGACCTAATAGTAAGTTATAAATGACGTATTGTTAATGATTAAAGGCTTTTTCTTTTGTTTCTAATTTTTACTTTTTACTTATTTTTTAATACAAAATACCAAAATTAAATTCATTATACAACATATATAACATTAGTTGTACAAGTCAAAAACCAAAAATTAATTTAACGCACAATGATTCTCTGTTTCTATATGCTTTGAGTGAGAATTGAACCCGTAACCTCCAAAATACAAAGGTCATAGATTTACCATCTCAACCAACTTTGATTAATATCTTAAATTTTACACAATTAACATTATATATTCCTTTAATATATTAAGTAAATTAGAGGTCATATTTTTTTATTTAATTTTCACAAAATTAGAAAATAAATACATATGAGGTAAACAAATAAAATAAATAACAATAACACCCGGGACAATGCCCAAACCACACACTAACTATACAAACAGTCGAACATAATTATCAAACTAAAGAAATACAAACTAGCAACCCAGGGCATCACAAACTAGCAACCCAGGCCACAAACTAGTTATTTCTTTAGAAGAGGAGAACAAATCTTATGAGTTTGACATTAATTCAATCACCTTCTTCAAATACATTTCTTTATGTAATGTAAGATACTAGTCCGAGTAATTCATGCCTATTCAAGTCAGTTAATATGTCGAATAAAGGCCATGTTAACTTTACAGTTATTAAATAAAACTATTTTTTATACTTACAATCATTATTTCCCTAGAAGAGGTGAACAAATCTTATGCATTGACATCAATTTAATCACCTTCTTCAAATACATTTCTTTATGCAATGTAAGATACGAGTCTGAGTTTTTAGAGAGCCACATAGGATTTAATTTTCTTAGCGCGCCATGTAGGATTATAAATTTTAGTGGTAGCCAATTAAATAAGAGATTATTAATTTCTTTTAGAATTAAATAATTCAAATGCCACAAATTGGCGAATGAGATTTTTAAGTTTAAATTAATTAAATATAATATTATCTTTTAATATTAGGAATTTTATCTAAATATATAACAAATTTTAGCACATAAATAAAAAAAACAATTTGTTATAAAAAATTCAAACAAACCGTGCATCGCACGGATTTCATCTAGTTCATGTCTATTTAAGTCAGTTTGAGTTAAGGACATGTTAACTTTACATTATTCATTTTTGAAATTATTTTTACCGATTCTCTATTTTATTTATTTTTTAAAATTACTAATGTAGTTTTTACTAAATTAAAATTGTTTTTTAACTAAATATTATTTTCTTAAAATGAACTAAACAAGCCCTAAATTTAATTACTCCGTACTAGTATACCGAAAAATTCTTAGCTACACACTAAGCTAGCTATACCACTGCACCCATATATGAACATATAGTAATTTAAAAATGAACATACGGTTTTTTTTTTCCTTCTTTATATCTTAACTCTCTCTTTTCTTCTTTCTTACCTCTATTAATTCTTTCTCCTCTGTTTTCTTATAAATCTGAAATTTTCTCTCTCCTCTTTTTTTTCCCCCTTTTTATAAGTTAATTTTCTTTCTTACTTTACTTTCCTTCAATCTCTTTACTTCTTTGTCCTTCTAATTCGGATATTCTCCAATTTGTCACCATTGTAGCATTCTTTATCATCATCATTTTTGTCACGATCGTGAAACTTGAGGTAATTTTGAGTTTTTTTATTTTTATTTATTTTTGTTTTTTTTTATAATATGTGAATGTTGTAAAATTGTTGATTTTTATCAATTTTGCATTTGTGATTCCTAATCTATTATGTTATAGATCAATAATTATTGTCTTCATAATTAACCAAGATTAGATTTAAGGCGGATATTCAAATTTTTAGAGTTAAAATAATTACAATTGAATTTGTGTTCTGTAAATAAAAAAAAAATATGAACATATAGTACTTTAAAATTGAACATTTTGTACAAAATGAACATTTAGTACACTAAAATTGAACATTAGTATATAAAAATCAACATAATTTAACGATATATTTTATCTTTATTTTTCTGTTAATTATTATATACAATGAATTTGAACATATATGAATATATAAAAATTTCGTTCATTTTTAATATACTAAATGTTCATAATTTTTTTAAACGTGTTCATTTGTTTGCGTGTTTATTTTTTTGTACTAAATGTTCATTCTATATAATGTATTGATATATTTTTATGAAATGTTCATTTTATTAGGTATGGTTCAACTATTCTATGATTGTATGGTAAATGTTCATTTTTACTATACTAAATGCTCATTTTTTTACGTGTTCATTTTTTATTACTAAATATTTATTTTTTACGTGTTCATTTTAAATGATCATTTTATTTTTACGTGTTCAATTTTTTTTTTTACTAAATGTTCATTTTTAAGGTCGTGGTCCATCAATTTTATGATTATATGATAATCATCTTCACTTTTAATATACTAAATAATCATTTATTTCTAACATATTCACTTTTTAATACTAAATGTTCATTTTCTTATGTGTTCATTTTTTTATTTTTAAATGTTCATTATTATTTTTTACGTGTTCATATTTTTTTTTTTTCTAAATGTTCATATTATAGGGCGTGAGCTCCACCGGGGTTCAGCTAAGACTTATTACTACTGGTAGAGTAGTATACCATACCTAAAAATAGGGCAAGTAACAGTATTTTGGGCTTTTAGGGTCCAATAGTAGAAGTTTAACGAAAATAGATAACCCTATGCTTGAGCTCCAAGTAGGAAATACCGACCTATCTGTAACTACCTGCCTTTTCTTTCTTCAACCATCTTCTAAATCTTTCATTCATTCATTCCCAAATCTCAAAATTAATCAATCCCTAATTCTCATTCTTCAAGCAACCAATTGCGTATTCATTCAATAAGTTGATCGGAAGTTTTTCGAATTCTCAATTTCCCTTTTCAATTCTCTTTCAAGGTACGTTTCTTTTAGTATTCATCTTCGCTGCATCTAAATACAGATTTAATTTTTGCTGATTTTTAGCTCCGATTCATCGCTGTTCGTCTTATGTAAATCTTGTATTTTATCGGCTTTTTGATTTTTGGAATTTGTATGACTTTGTTTCTTTGATTTTTTTAGTATGTTTCTTCTGATTTTTGTGCTTGGCAATTCATCTTTTTTTGTCCGATGGAAAACCCTAGAAAAAGTATGAATTGAGATTGTTTTTTTTAATTTTCTTTTATTTTATTTGGATTTCAGTATAAGCATGATGTATTATGTATTACTTTAGTGTCGTTGTATAACGATTGAATGATTGATGAATTATGAGTTAACCCTAATTAGCGATTAAACTTACGAAAAAAAGGATCTATTTTAGACGTTGTATGTAGTTTGTGTATTTTTTGAATGTATTGATTGTTTTCATAATCTGAAACTCTATCATTTATCTTCTTGTGCATTGTATTTGATTACAAGAAAGTTATTGTGGATTAATATGAATTTTTGTCCAGATTTTGTGCGTGAATTCTTTTGAAATAATTCTGAGTTTTCATTCTCCATCAGATTGTTTGTATCTTTAAATATATTAGTTACTGTTTATTGTTCTTTCTAATGTTTGAGTTGCTATGATAATTGTTATGTAGGAATTCGAATGTCGTTTGCTAATCTTTATTGTTGTTCTGGTTTTGCAGGTTTTATTTGGTGATTAATCAATCATGAGGTTTAAGGAAGGAGCCATGGTGGAGGTCTTGTCCAAAAAAGACCATTCACGTGTTTGGAGGTGTGCAAAAATTGTAAAAGATGATGGAGATGGTTACACTGTCAAATATTATCGAGGCCCAGGCATAGCTAAGGACGGTGTTGACGAGGTTTCAGCTGATGCAGTCAGGCCTTGTCCCCGACCATCAAAGAGTATTAATATTTTGCTTGTTGGTGATGTTGTGGAAGTATTAGATGATGGTTATTGGAGGGTTTCCGTGATCGATGAGGTTTTGGAAGATGATTGTTTTTACATCCGGGTGATTGGATCTTTGGATGAGTTTAAAGTTAATAGGTCTAGTATCAGAGCACGACAAGAATGGAAGCAGAACAAGTGGGTTCTGCTAGATAAGGTACTATTCTGATTTGAAATTCTCAGTTTTGTTTAATGCGTAATTGTAAAGTGGACTTTATGTATCTTGGTTGTTTATAGACATTTACACTGGTTTGCTTTTGTGTAGAACTGCAATTGTTTATCATGTTTACACTCTACTAACAGATTTTTATGGTTTTCTATATTATTGTATACTGAGTATTTTGATTTTTAATCCATGTATGTAAAATTGTACGAAGTATTTATTTTTTTTGTTCTACGAATGCAGGATTCTGAATATCATGAAGATTTGGCGTCCAAGATGCACAAGAAATCCCATGTGCAGGAAGTTCCAGAATACAATTTGCTGCCTAAATCATTGAAGAGGTCTTTTTCTGATCATTCATCTACTGCCAAAGTTTATTCCAAGTGTTCCCAGAAAAGAAGATTAGTAGACAATGCGGTTGAGCTTGAAGCTATCCATGGTGACGCATATTCCTTCACTGGAAAGGTAGAAAACCCTACAAACCAAAGGGGAAATCTTGGTAAAGATACTCTGCAAAATTTTACTAAGAAAACAATCTGGTCTAATAATGCTTACAGTAGAAATCATGATGATTTCCTGGGGCTAAATGATTGTGTCAGTACTATGTCATCTGTTGCTAGTTGTAGCATCACTAATGCCATTTCTGATAGGTTGCTCAGCCATTCTTCTGCAGGAAGTAGACAGGATAGTGCTTCTCTTTGTAGTGACGCAGATTCACATAGTCAATTGGGATCAGAGGAAGAAATGTGTGTTGATCAGTTAGAAAGGGGAGATGTTTTAAGAACACATGAGTTAGATTTATATGGTTATCGATGCGTTCTAGAAACTTTATATGCGTCTGGTCCTTTAAGTTGGCAACAAGAAACTGCTTTAACAAACCTTCGTATGAAGCTTTATGTTTCAAATGATGAACATTTGAGTGAGTTGAGGAGGTTAAAGTCTCTTGGTGTGAGTTGTCAATAGCTTTAGATATTCTTTCTTAAATTGCACTGGGTCTTGTAAAGTTCAGTGATACCTTGTGCCTTGTAAGAAGTGGGTGACATTTGAAACGGTACATATGCTCAATTGTTGATGCAGTCATGAAATTTGCATACTTACAATATTCATATACATTTGAAAAATCTTATATCAATTATCTAATTTGGAAGTAATGTTTCTAGCCTCTCTTTAGCTGTCTTGATAATTCTATAATTATTATTGATGCTTCTCATACATATTTCAGGAGCTGTCCAGACATGTAAGCCTTACTGCCACAATCTTAAAGATGATGTTGTGGTTAGCCACCTCCTCTGTAGTTTTGAGAAAGGGGCATCATCTGCAATGGCTCCTTTGTAAATGAGGCAATTCATGTCGGAGGCTGTGATTAATCCCTCTTATGTTGTTTTCTGTGCTTCATTCCAGGTAAAAAATGATTTTTCAAGTTAAACTACTTGAAGCTGAACAGCTCCTTTGGGGCCTGTGAGCAATATACTTTTTAAAGATCCCTTGCTGGAACTTGTTAGTTGGTGGTCATCTTTTAAAGATGGCATTTATTTTTCTTTTAAATTATAATATGCCTCAAAAGTTTGAAGGTTCCGACAAACATTGTTACACGTGATTGAAGAATTTGAAATTGAGTATTAGTATGATCTGAGCGTAATAAACATTGCTAGAGATAATCAGCGTAATTGCTGGGCATCTCTACTAGTTAACTTAGAAGGTCTTTGTTTGCTGAGTTGGATGTAAGTATTGGCAAATATATTGCATCTATGAATAACCAAAGTTCGTAATTAGGTGATCAGATTATATATTTTCATGTGTGTGCATATGCAGAAAGGCCTGGGACTCATCTTGGATATTAATTTGCTTTATATGTAGACTAGACATGGCAAATGGGTCATTCGGGTCGGATATGGGTCGGGTCATTTCGGGTCAGCTAACATTCGAGTCGGGTATGGGTTGGGTCGGGTTGATTCGGGGTTCAGGTCAACTTTGGGTTAGGTATTGGGTCAATTTCGGGTCGGGTATGTTCGGGTCGAGTCATTTTCGGGTCAAGTATATTCGGGTTAGGTCAAAATCTGGTTGGGTCATGTTCGGGTTGTTACATTTGTGAATCAAGCTCAAATCAATAATTTTATACAGAGTATATATTTTGTTATTGTTATAATAAAAACTATCAATTCAGTTTATGAGCTTAGCTACGGTTGAAGATGAACAATAGTAGTTATTTTTGGTACAAGACATTTTAAGTTCAATTATAAGGTAATTTTAGTTCGGGACATTGCGGATATTGGGTTTGTTCGGTGTCAATTTCGGGTATCGGGTCTGTTCGGGTCAAACAATTCGGGTCAATTTTGGGTTGGGCCAACTTCGGTTCGGGTCAGTTTGTGTGTCGGGTTAGGATTGGGTCAACTCCATTTTCAGATCGGGTATGGGTTGGGTTGGGTCAATTTTGGGTTTCGGGTCATGGGTCGGGTCTCTTTTTTTGGGGGGGGGGGCGGGTTTGGGGTTGGGATGTGGTAGGTCATTTTCCATTTTAAACTTGGAGGTGTGGTCTGTACCATCTTATTCTAGAGCATTTTCCTAGTTTCTACATAAGCAACACCAGCTGTTGCATGGACCTCTAGATTTTTGCAAATTCTAATTTTTAGCCTTTTTAACAGTGTGTGCTGAACTTCTGATAGAGATATTGGTTGTATACTTTTTTCCCTAAATTTCGTGGTTTCCATATTGTTATGTCCATATGTGTGATTTACTAATAGCATCTGTTGGGCAGTGGCACAGAAAGTAGGATCTCGGTCCATGTCTGAGGCTCTGTGAGCTAAGCTCCTCAGTGACCATGCAATTTTCTGCCGCCAAATAATCTGAGGTTATTCTAATTTCCAATCAGGTGCCTCCACTTATGGGTTCTTTTGGCCATGAGATTATGTGTTCTTAATTTGCTGGGTGCTGAGAAGCTCACTATTATGCATGCCACTGAATTACAGGTTTGTGCATTATGGTTCAAGTACTGCTTATATGGTATAATGAATTTGTTAGAAACTTGAGCTTTGTGTTATTATTTATATACATTATATACATAGGAAAAATAAGTTAAAAAAAATTGTATCCTCTCCCTCTTCTCGAAACCAGGCATCAGAATTTACGATGCTAGTCAGATGGTTATAGTGTTTGATAACGTGGAGTCTTTATGATCCTCTTATGTTGCTTTAGTGCCTTGTACTCCTATGATGTTGCAGTACCTATTTCATCCGTTTGTTTTTTAAGATGAAACCTATATAGATTTACATTATTTACGCACACTATACAATCTCAATTTTTGGTGATTTTTTCAAATGGAAAAACATAATCATGTGGAGTCTTGTTAGATTCATCTTATTCATACTTTTCGGGTATCAATTTTTAAATATTTGTTGCTTATTTGTAATTAAATGGAATTGTTGAGCATTAGCAAGCATGAAACAAGAAGTGTTTTGTATAAAAAAAAAAAAAAATGAAGTATCATGTAGATGATTGACAGCGATGAACTCCGGTTGGATGAGCATAATCATGTGTAAGGTTTTACACACAACAGTTTGCAACCTGAAGTACTTGTTTGGCAGTTCTCCAACTTGAAGATCTCTATCAGAACCTAGTTGTTATAACTAATCAGTTATGTTGGTTCATCCTTTGCTTGAAGAAATTCTTAAGACATCTGCAGAAGAATGTAGCAAGACTCTGTGCACACGGTTGTTGCATTCTCCTGCGATCTCCTTTAGGCTAATTGCAGCATGATTCTTGTAGTATAGATGTATAGCTTAAAATATTTGATGGTAAAGCATGCCAGAGAATTGTAGTTATAATTCAATGTATACAACTTAATTTGTTTTGAGTTATACAAGTATACATTGTTTTTCATTCTGCTAACAAGCCAAGTATTATCTTCTTGTTTTGGGTTTTGCTTTATCAGCCTTTTTTACTTCCATCTTTTGTTTTACCTATAAGAAATATGCCTCAACAAAAATCAGATCTCTTAACTCAATTGATTATTTTACAATACTGCGCATGTTGAGGTAAATTACACTATTATAGCATTAAATAGGTTAATGCTGCCTATAATACCGAGTTACCTTTAACAGTGTGAAAAGGCTGGAAGATCTGGCAATTCCAGAGAAAATTAAGACGAGGGAAAATAAATTAATAGAGCAACCCTAAAATTTGCATAAATGTAGGCAATATCATGTTCAATTTTTGAATTTTAATCATAAAAAAAGTGATGTAGCCAAATACTGGGAGTGATTGCTTCTATCAATTAACTTACAAGTTCCTTATTAAACTTCAATGTTGTAGACTTGTAGTCTCCTTGAAAAGAAAGAAAATGCCAGTAAATTGATTTGTAATATACGGAGTACTAAACTTAAATCATGCCATTTATCTCGAATGATAAACCATATAGTACTTTCAAGCTCCTCAGGCTTACAAAAAGCAGGTGGATTTTTTTTAGATAAAATCCCACATCTCCCTAAAAAAAATCACATTACTACGAGAGAATGGATAGGCCAATAGCAATCATGGCTCAGATGAACAAGTGCTTGTATTCCCCATTAGCAAGCTGGCACAGTTGATTATAGTTCTGTGGATCTGCAACAAACCGGAAAACAATGAAACATTAAAAGCCTTGATCAAGTCAACATAAGTCACTAGACTCACTACCATGTAGTAGAATTGCATATGTTATTGCGCTTTTGTTTAGAATTTGTCTATTAACATTCAACACATCAACATGTATAGAATCAACAGCAAAGCCAGCAACAACAACAAAATAACGTCTTCAGCACAGCACGACACAATGTCTGGTAGAGCTAATACTCGGATACACTTTACACGAGCCAAAAAAACCCTATATATGATGATTCAATTACAGTTATCACCATATTAAACCACTACACAGCGATCAAATACCCGTCAATACAGTGCCTGGGGTACAACATTTATATTGTGGTCTCTGATCAGATTTTACATATGTACACAGTCACCACTCTACACACCATTATACTTCCCCTTTGGTTGTAGGTACTTTGTCAATACTCAATACCTAACAACGTAAGATGCTTCAGCGAATCAAAATCTAGACACTGCAAGAGCACAACAGTACATCACAGACTCACAACCCCAAACCTCCCCTCAGGCAAAGCTGCCAGTAGGAGATGGGATATGATACAGGAATATAACAAGAACACAACGCGTGATTCAAGCCATAATGACCGACTTCAGAAAAGAGCACGCCACCAGACAACATACACAAGGACACAACTAAATTTCCAACTTAACGGAGTTGTGTCTCTGGGGACAGGGTATGTGAATCACTGCACCTACAAATAATCCCATACAGTGCAACAAAGAAAGATATTTCATTTCTAGCAAATCAGGTTAAGCAATTTAAACCTATAATTGTCACAATAAACAGCCAAACACATTAACACAATAAAGAGAGGAGCTCACTATACTTACCAAAATTATCGCCAAAGTTGGTCATAATTTCTGCACGAATCGATTGATTGCTCTCAGCAATACCAATTGCCTCAACATATTTGGTAAGTGGTTGAGTTGGTGGCGAACCCTTTATGACGAGCTGATGATCATCAGTTGATTTCCCAATCAAAGAACCGCCATCAGATTGTATCACCTGTACAACTACCCGAACCTTCCGCCCAACATACAAGCGAATCGATTCACCATTGACGAAAGCTGCAGGATTTGAAGTATCCATATTCTGCAAGCATATAGCATGATACCTTAGATTCAGAATCTAATTAGATGATAAAAAAAATAAAAATAAAAAAAAGAACCAATAACAAGCTAAATTAAGTTACTCAAACCAAATTCTTCAGTATTCTAATAATAGAATCTGGTAAATCAATTATGATCAGACTTGTAAAAATGATCACTATTTCATAATTCCATCCTACATTTAAGGTTTCTGCAACAGATTAGTAACCAAATTTGACTCAATCATCAAATTAGGCTCGATTAATCACATACAAATCTTCTTATATTAACGCAAATTTCACACTAGTAACAAAATCGGTAGTTATAATTTTTCATAACTTGAGTAATTCTAACCAATAGTTCAATTAATATACCATAGAAGAACCTTAAATTAATTAGTGTGAAACTAAACCCTAATTGACGATTGAATTGACAATGGAGTGAAATTAAACCCTAGATTGTAAAACTGATATTAAATATTAAATAAATCTTACCTTAAAATCTGTTTCAATGGCGGTGAGAAAGCTGTGAAGCCGCTTCAATGAATAATTCGAAGTACGCTTCAATGGAGAATGAGTGAGAGAGAGAGAGAGAGAGAGAGAGAGAGAGGGGAGTTAGAAGGGTTTGCTTTCCTCTTCTTTTTATAAGGTTTTTTTTTATTATTATTTTTTTAAAAAAAATTTGGCGGCTTCGAATAATGTTTTCCCGCCTTTTTGTGTGTATAATGGAACTTTGGAAATTCATTAGCTTAATATATCATTATCATGTCATGTATTTAGATGTGTTAATTCGGGTATTTGGGTCCGATTTGGTGAAGTCAAGTCAGGTTGGCTCTACGTCAAAGTATGCCATGCTAAATTATTGTGTTTATACAAATCGAATTTAGAACTAGGTTTTTCGAGTCATATCGGATCGTGTTGATCATATCAGTTTTGACACCTCGAAAATATTGTATTAGCTTATTAACAAAGATGGCAATTGTTTGGCTTTACTTGCTCAATCCGACCTATTATATTCAATCCTTTATTAATCTTTTCTAATATTAAAAAGTAATGGTAAGTTTTCATGTCTATATGAAACAGTTTGTAATTTTTACAAACATGCACATGTAAATGGTATACAAAAATACCCCTTTATTTTTTAAGTGCAAAACTTTAAAGAGTTCCAACAATTAGCCATTTTTGTAAGTGTAACATTCTAAAATTAAAAATCTTTTACACTATTTATTGTATTTATCTCCTTACCTATGATATTTACCTTTTTTTTCTCATTTTTAATATTATAGTCTTTAATACTTTATTCCTCTCACATTATTTAATTTTAATAAATTTTATCCAATATTGTACATCTTTTCAACCGTGTTTAATTTCCAACAAACCTTATATACTTTAACTTCCTCTGTTTTTACTAACACTTTGTTTTGCAGGATGAGTGGCTCAAAAAGGAAAGCGTACTATCCCATCGAAATTGTATGGCTTTTAAATGGAAAGTTGTTATAATAAAATCACTCCCTATAAACAAAATTAAAAATGTTGTTCACGGACATCATCAGGTTAAATATAATGGTTGTTCAAGTTTTGCTCAATTGCTCAAGTTAATAATTTATTAAGCTAATTGATAGAGTATAAAACACATTCTTAAACTTAAACCAAGCCTTTATCACTAATCAACGAGTCTAAACCATCACGATAATATTTATCACTGATCAACAAGTTTAAACCAAGCTTTGAGTGAGTTGTTTGAGTTTTGCTCAGTTGTTCAAGTTAATTTATTAAGCTAACCAACGACTTTTAACCAAGCTTTGACTGAGCTTAACACGCTTTATTATATTACCCAAATAAGTCCAACAAAGATTTGATAGAGAGGGAAATCCGATTCCCACCACAAAATGGATATGATTTCTTATCTTCCCCGCTAAAACTCCCCTTACACTCTTTTTCTCCCATTTTCATGGATTCTTAACACCTTCATTCACTCACTCACTCACAAAATCAATCACACCCCAATAACAATGGACACTCTCTCTCTAACTCCACACCTCTCTCGCCTCCTCAAACTCTCTCTCTCTTACTCACCACCAACACAACAACCACCACCCAACTTTCTCTCTCCTCGCCCTCTCCTCCTCCGTCACCACCCTCTCACTTTCTCTCTCCTCCCCCACCACCAACAACAACCACCCACCACCACGAGCACAACCTCATCCGATTACGAATCCTTCAACGAAGACGAATCCTACGGCTAAGTCAACCGCATCATTGGCAGCCGCGTCTCCCCCTCTTCCCCAACCACCATGGAGTACCTCATCGAGTGGAAAGACGATATTGCCCCTACCTGGGTCCCCTCCAACTTCATCGCGTCCGACGTCGTTTCGGAGTTCGAATCCCCCTGGTGGAATGCCGCCAAGAAGGCCGACGCTTCCGGGCTAGAGGAAATCCTGGCCCGGCCCGAATCCGCCCGCGATGTTGATGCGGTGGACTCCGACGGCCGGACGGCCTTGCACTTTGTGGCCGGGCTCGGGTCTGACACGTGTGTGAGGCTACTTGCCACGTATGGTGCTGACGTCAATAGGAAGGATGTGACGGGTGGCGGGCTGACGCCGTTACATATGGCGGCTGGGTATGCCCGGCCTGAATCGGCCCGCGCGTTGATAGAAGCCGGAGCGGATCCCGAGGCGGAAGACGATAAAGGACGGACGCCGTTGGATTTAGCTAAGGAGATCTTGGCCGTTACTCCGAAGGGGAATTTGATGCAATTTGGGAGGAGATTGGGGTTGGAAAATGTGGTGAAAGTTTTGGAGGGGGCAATTTATGAATATGGAGAAGTTGAGGGGGTTTTGGAGAAAAGAGGGAAAGGGGAGAATTTGGAGTATTTGGTGAAATGGAGAGATGGGGGAGAGAATGAGTGGGTTAAAGTTGGGTTTATTGGGGAGGATTTGGTGAGAGATTTTGAAGATGGGCTTGAGTATGCTGAGGCCCAAGGGGTTATCGGGCAGCGGGTCAGAGATGATGGTAAAAAAGAGTTTTTGGTGAAATGGGTTGATTATGAGGATCCGACATGGGAACCTGAGGAAAATGTGGATCCTGATTTGATCAAGGAGTTTGAGGAGTCTGAAATTAGTAGTAGTAGTAATATTTCGAGTATTGGCACTTGAATATTTGCATGATGAAATTTTTGGTTTTGGAATGTGATGTTTGATGGTCCAATATTTTTTGATCATTCAAGTGCATTTGATTGTAGAGAATAGAGAAGAAAAGGCAATGTAGTGTGTAGTTTCTTAAAATATTTGTTTGATTGTTTGATAATGATAAAGCAAGACACAAATTGTTACATCAAACAAATTTATAAAAGAGAATCTCATTGTAAAATTGTGAACAATTCTGTTCAAAAGTAAAATTGCTAATAGATTGTACAGTTTTTTTGAGATGTAATCTCTCATCGGTAAGAAGCTACTCCATATTATTTAATATGGAGTATTGTTTATACCAATGACTAGGTAAGAAGATAGAAATGTATGAATAGATATTTGATAGAGAATATATACATAATATTTTAAGTTTAAAAAGAATCTAAAATGTTCTAAAAGATAGATCAAAATACTTTATCTATTTCTTAAGTAAAAACTGTCAAATAATATAAAAATAAGACCATAATACCAATAATATAAAAGATAGACCTTAAATAAAATATTATTAAACGTATAAAATATAAAAAACTGTCAAAAGAATGTGTAAATGGTGTAAAATTCAAACATTGCATTAAAATAAATCAGTTTTTAAAGGAGATCAGTACAGCGCAATGATAGCATTACAATTGTCAATGAGTAAACAAATAATGTATTATAGACATACTTCTAATAGACTAATAGTAATTGAAGGATACACTGTATTGTACAGTCCTTTGGGAAAATAAATAAATTAGATACATGATAGTATTACAATTCAAGATTCAAGCAACTCTTCTAATGAAAGTCTAGATCTGGAGAGCTAAAGTGAGCTTAATCAGAGCTCTTGCTTTGCAGTCACCAACTTTCCAACACCATAGAGGCTGATAGAAACTGTGAAGTTCAGGATTCAAAACCAGCAGCTTCAATCGTTGCAAGTTTGCAATATGACATGATAAGAACTTTAATCTGCTTTAAAATTAAAAGTGTGCATGATATACTGATGTTTGATGTTCTCACCCTCAAACTTCACCAAATTCTTTAAGCATAAAGCTTCTGTAAAATCACAACGAAGTTCAGTGGTAAAAGAAACATGATCTCTTTAGAGCTTGGCTCTGTCAATGGACTGCAGTTTTCTGCATCCAACTGTGTGTTACCAAATGCATGACCTATACCGCAAAGTCACAAACACTTAAATATAGAAAGCATAAAAATACAATTAGCAATAGCTGTTCGCAAGTATTAAAAAGAAATAAACACAGGCATGTACAGCGTTTATTTCCTAGATGTCTGCACACATTTACAGACAAACTCTGAATTACTAGCTTCTACAAAAAGAATAGACGCAAGAAAATTCCCAGTAAAACAAACATTTATTCACTGCATTAACAATCGCTGTCAACATGTACAATTTTAAAACTCTTGCCTGCTTCAGAAAAGGTGTATAAAGCATACAAGAGCTAGTGCAATGTCCACTCAAAGAACGAGGAAGACCTAAGGCATCAGTAATGAAGTTTAACTTCCCTTCTAGGAAGGTCAATTAAACCGTCTCACGGGTGCTTAACAGATTTGTACAACTTTTATTAGAAACTAAATCAATGTTCTACTCCACAATATGTAACCGCGTTAACAATTCTCAGAATGTACAATTTGAACATCCTCCCAACTTTCTTACACAGGATAGTAGTTAACAGAACTTAGAGGGCCCAGAAAAGTGTGTCATGTATTAATAAGCTATAAAGGTAAGAAGAGCTCGAAGAGCTAGTAATAAACTCAACCCAAGCACTCAAATTGACATCAACCTCCTTAGCTAGCAACAAGGCAAACCAAGGCCTGTACTAGACTTTAACCTCCTTAGTTCCATTAAATGTTCATCTGTTGAAACAGAATACTTTTGACGGAGGTTTGTTAGATAAAATTCCAGCTCCCAACTCAAAGGACCACATGCATATAATGCTTCTAGGGTGCTACGGTATCTATTTAACTCTAGCTCATGCGATCTTAAAGTATTTTCCTGTTTTGACTGACCAATAGACACTGCTTCATCACCCCCTTTATGATAAAATGATTCAGCGCCACTAAAAGAATCCCTTTCCTGACTACAGCTGGCTGAGGAATGGCTGATCAATCTATCAAAATTAGCATCACCAATGCTACAACTAGCAACAGATGATTCACATTGAACAGAATCAGTTTCGGAGGTTCTACCAATAGGATGGGCATCATCATGGTTTCTAAGGCTAGTGTTACTGGTTGTTCTTTTAGATATTTGCTCCTTATCTTTACCATGAGTTTTCCTAAATTTATCAGGTGTCTGTACCTTCCCATTGAAAGAATACGAGTCTGGTACAGCATGAAGCTTAACCTCCTTCTCTGCTGCCCTTCGTTTCTGAGCACACTCCGGAGAAGATTCATCTACGAATGACCTTTTCTGCGTCCTGGACAGTGAGACATATTCCTGATCTTTCATGTCAAAGTCACCTTGCGTTTGCATTTGAGCCAACTTCTGCACCCTAGATAACAGTTTCTTATCAATTCCAGAATCCTGCAGTTGCAGAACAGAATTCATCAGTATAACCTCTTACAAACAACCATGCAAACAAAAGGAAACCATAGGAACAATCATAAGCAAGTAATATTAATAATGGTTAGAGAAATTCGACATTGTTTTGCACGCAAGAAAGATACTCAATACAGCAATTAATAACAGATATTTACCTTCTCCAGAGGAAACCACTGATTATTTTTCCATTGTTGCCGTGCTCTTACACCAGATTTCCTCACTCTAAACTCATCCACAGATCCGATCACCTGGATACCATACGAATCATCATTTTCCAAAACCTCTTCAATAATACTGACTCTCCAGTAACCATCATCCAGCACTTCCACAACATCACCAACAGCCCAAACTCTAGACCCCGTCGCAGGTGGTGGACGAGGCCTCACTGCTTCCGAGGATACTTTGTCAACACCGTCTTTAGCTATTCCAGCACCGCGATAATATCTCACCGTATAACCATCTCCATTATCCTCCACAATCTGTGCACACCGCCAACCTCCTGAAAGGTCCTTCTTCTTAGAAAAGACCTCCACCATACTTCCTTTATCAAACCTCATATTCAACTTATCGCTGATTAACATCTGAACAAACAACACAAATTAAGATCAGAAAATATGAATAATAACTACTCGTCAAATCAAAAAATACTAAACAGAATCACAACACTACATAAAATTTCATATAAAAAGCAATTTATTCATTGAAGTAATCTAAAAATATCCTTTTTAAAAAATAATCATATCAATATTTTCCTTCTTTGACAAAATTTCAACATTTCAAAGAAATTAAACAAAAAAACAATACAAGATCATGATCACACATTATTCCATAAAATAACATTTATTATCAAAAACTAAAGTAAAATGCAAGTAAAAATATAGCTTTTCAAAAATAAAAACAACGAATTGATTCTTTAAACCTTAGGGTTACTGCTCAAGTAGCGATCAATTAACACAAAACATAAAAGATAATTCCAGAAATTAATTTTTTCATTCAATCGGAAGAAAATCAATCACTAAAACCTAAGAAAACAAAAATAGCAGCAGAATCAAAAATTCAGAAGATAATGAGTACAATACCTTGATTCGTCAATCGGAAGAACGCCGAATTTCTACGCACAACGAGCTGATTGATTACAAAAACAATTGATCGATTGATTAATCACTAGCACAAATATTAGGTTTTTTTTTCGAAATTAATTTTTGAGGATTAATAGGAGAAATAACTTGAGAAAAACGCAATTAATATGAGAAAATCGAAAAATCTGGTTAGCTTGGGGCAAAATCTTTAGCTACGTTGTTCTTAAACTGAACACGCAATTGGATACTCTAATGAGTCATGAACAGAGTAGGATTGTATTCAAGGTTAAAAATCTATCATCTTAATTTTTTTTTTAACAAATTTAGTAATTTTGGGGTAATTTTATTTTTTAATTAGTTCAAAATAGTAACTATGTCTCATATTCGATGTTACTAACTCCCTACTACTTTTATTCCTCGTTTGTTATTGGTGCAGTAAGTTTTTCGAAAATAAAAAATGAATTTTTATTACGAAGTAGTACCATATTACTAAAGATTTTTTTTTTTGAAGGGCATATTATTATAGATTATTGCTTATTAGTATTAAAAAAAATTATACTCGTATTTAGTATATCTACAAAGTATGAGGATATTTTGAGATGAATAAGTACGCACTCCATAGTGCATAATTTTCTTTGTAAGTCTGTAAGATATACTTCAATTTATTAATTATATAAGTTATTGTAATTATAATTGGTGGAATTATTTATTAAAATTTAGATATTGATAGCTTATTATTGGTGGAAATATTTAATAGATTGCACTTTTATCATACAGAGTATGAATAAATGTGGAATTAATTGTTTACACATTAGTCACATTCAGATATACTAATGTACTATTAATCTATTAACTCTGTCTTTTACGAACCAAATAACTCAATTTTTTTACGATTATTACTAATATTTTTTTAATTGTTGTCAATCTTGTCCAAGTTAACACTCCTTTGTCTCAATCTATGGTCCATGAAATATGGTGTGCTAGTTGCAACTGAAAACTTTTGCTACCCATCAACAAAATTGTCATTGTGTCCATGAAAAATGGCGTGCAAGTAATCCAGTAGACGCATCACTTTTGTTTATTGGTGTACAACTTCACAAAAAAAAAACCTGTTAAATGCACAGATCGTATCAAAAACCATTCAAATTTCTAGTGTTTAGCTGATGTCAACTACAAAATCCAGTACGAACGTATTAAATACGGAGTATGATGCAAATTTATGTACTTAGTAGAAACTGTAATGCCACGAGTCCTCAGGGTAAAGACGGAGAAGTTCAAATATTAACTGTCATATAAGTAGTAAGTAAAGCACAACAATAACCTATTAAAACGATCAATTTAACAATAACCTACTCAAACGATCAATTCTGCATGCACATTTGAACAATAAGCATTCGCAAGATCAGCATGAAATTTTAAATCAAGCTCAACTTAACATGGTGCAGAAACTAGCGAGAATCAAAATGCAAATGATAAAATTGGGATCCAATACTTCCCACATTCATACAAAGCAAGTCTCATCAAAGTCATGCTCTACATCGAGCATCTGACCTTTCTAATACAATGAAGATCTCGCCAGCCAATATAAAGGTAACAAACCATTATCAACTGTCCCAAACTCTCTACTACTACCTATCCAAAATCCTTAAAGAAGAAAATTCATCTTTAGTGATACAGTTTAGGGACGGCAGAAAATTTAACACACAAGGAGACCGAATAAAAGATGATCTTCCAATTTACTCGAATGCGTCATCATCATCATCTGGGAGGGGCTGAGCAGCTGCAACAGCGAGCTCTTGTTCATGCCTATTAGAAACACGTGACTATTGTTAATAGTTTCAATAAAAGCTAATCTTACATCCATAACAATATCTTGACATTCATTAATTGGAGGATATCATGCGCAAATTCGCAACCAAGCCCAACAAATACAACTGATTATTACCTCTGCTGTTCGGCCAAGTCAATCTGCACCTCAGGAGGAGCCAAAGCTGGAGACTCGACGAAATGCAAGTTGGCATCCCTGCATCAAAAACATTATCAATAACAATCTATAATAGTTTATAGTACATGACTTTTGTTCACCTAAATTCGAAATCGTAAACGTTACCCTGCAAGCTTCCTGGCAAGGTAGAGGAAGGGCTTCTCAAAGTTGTAATTGCTCTTGGCTGAAATTTCGTAGTACTGCAAGTTCTTCTTCCTGTGGAAGGTAACCTGCTTAGCCTTCACTTGCCTGTTCTTGACATCAACCTTGTTTCCACATAGCACAATTGGTATGTTCTCACACACCCTGATGAGAAGCAAACAATTCAAAATTAGATACATGATCACATTAGATACTCGAAACAAAAAACCAAATTAACAGAGATTAAATCACCTGCAAAGGTCCCGATGCCAGGTTGGAACATTCTTGTAAGTCAATCGAGCAGTCACATCAAACATGATAATGGCACATTGACCATGAATGCTGTAAAACAACAATGATTATTACAAACCTTTTGAACATATATTCAAATGATACCAAATGCAATGGTCTTTTTCACAAATCCAAGTGGAAAATAGTCGCACCAAAAATTGAAGCATTGTAATATTCTACAAAAAAAGAGAAGCAGACAGCATTGCAATGTTCCTAATGTCCAATTCAATAATATTGCAACTAATTATCAAACTCAATAGCACAAAGAAATCATAAACATTTATGCATTATTTATAGATCATAAACCTAGCAAATGACTTAGCATTCAATCGAGCTTATCGTTACCACACAAGTAAACAACATTAATGCTAATGGTTATCAAACACACGGTCAGTATTAACAAATATTACTCGAACATGAAGCAAAAAGAGAACACTAATATAGGAGGAGAATTCGAAATACAATTACACTTCCTTTATACTATTTCTATAGTTCACATCAAACTCACAATCTTCAAACTACCTTGTCAATCAAATTCATCACCATTTGAATACATTGCATCGAAAACATGAGATAGACATAGGAATTGAAACACAAGTAATTAAACATTTCAATGGCAATTATAATGGTCATTAGTATCCAACTATCCATCACAATTCGAATAAGTATCATCGAAATCACGAGATACCATACAAATTAAAACACAGGTAATTGAACAATTCAATGGTAATCATAAAGATCACTCACTAGTATCCATCTCTAAGACCACCAAACTTCTCTTGGCCAGCGGTATCCCAGCAGTAAAATCTGATTTGCCCACAGTTAGTGTGGAAATCCAATGGATGAACTTCGACACCAATAGTAGCTGTACAATCAATATACCCTCAATCATCAAATTATTCACCTCTAATCAAATAAATAGCAATAATAATAATCAATAATTAACATAACTTACGTTCATATTTCTTCTCAAATTCACCAGAAAGATGCCTTTTAACAAATGTAGTCTTTCCTGCACATCCAATCACATCCCAAATCAACACTTTTTCCAAGTTTCGTTTTCATAATCACAAACAATTACTGTAACAAAAATCAGTCCAAAAAAACCCAATTCGAAAATTTAACCTGGATAAATTACCCACATAGATCTAACCCAAATCACACCCAAAAAATTCAAAAAACAAAATTACAAAATCATCAATTTCTGTATAAACAAATCCTAATTTTCCAGAAATTTAGATATTTCGTTAGAGAGATAGAAAAATTACCTGTACCACCGTCACCAACAAGAACAAGCTTGAAGCTTGGGTAATCAACAGTTTGCTGATTCGGCAAAGCCTAAACCCAGAAAATCAAAAATCAAAACCAAAATCATAAATAAAACTGGTACGATTATAATTAATTTACATTAACATCAAATCAAAAAATTAAAATAAATTCAAACAAAAATCATAAAATGGAATAAAAAAAAAAAACTGACCATTTTTACGAATTGAGCTGGAAAATTAGAGAGAGAAAGTAGAGAGAGAGACAGAGAGAGGAAGGAGAAATTAGGGGGATGGAAGACTAGGGTTAGAGAAGGGGGGTTATATATGAAGGGTTTATGGAAATTGTAAAAATAGAATTTGAATTTTTGAAGAGGAAAAGAAGGGGGTGGCGTTTGCCCAACGCGAGATTCTCCACCGTTGGATTTAGGGGAATTTTGTTCCGTTTAGATCTTTCTTTTTTCTGTTTTTTTTTTCTTTTTTTTGAATCGGTGTGACACGTGTGTATAATACGTGAGTTTTGTTTGAGGAATTTGGAGGTTGGTTTTTGGTTCTAGAATTCTCCAGAATAATAACATGCGGGCTTTGCTGGATGTGATCATCACATGAACTAGTTTTGGTCCAGCCCACTTGTTTAAGCAGGACAATTGAGCACTTGTTAATCGCTGAGGTCGCTGTTAAAATGAATATTTATTACTCCCTCTTTAATTTTTATTTGCAACTTTTGTCATTTTAATCCGCTAAAAATTATTTGCAACTTTCTAATTTATTTCCATTTTTGGTAAACAAAAACCCTAAAAATTACTATTTTACCCTTACTTAAATTTTTATGATTTTTTTAATTCTACCCCTTATTAACCCTAATCCCACATTACATACAAAACATCTAAATTAACCTAATCTAATTACTCCCTCCATTTATTTCCCCCAATCCAATCCCAACAGCCACATTCCCAACCACCAACATTGGGATTATTTCTGGCTTCTCGAGTCTTCTTAAGAACCCTAGATCTGGTTCTTCGACTTTCACTCTCCTTCGCCTCTGTAATTTTCTCCATTGTTCCTCCTAAATCTGAGTTTTCGTCCTCTCAACTTCCAAAAAAAAGAGTCCCCCACCACCATGGTTAACCTATCTCCACTTCGCGACGCTTATATTGCCACCGATGACGAGGGCGAGGCAAACTTGATAAAAACCCTGATGACAGGTTTCGCCGAAGGATCTCCTTTTCCTCGTGAGTTATACGCGTTTGAGGAGGCCCTGAATTACTGTTCTCCGACCACATACAAGGCCTTGGGCCAAGTTCTTGAAAGCGTAGACGAGGATGAGCGTCGCAAGACCGGTGAGGGTCAAGGAGATTCACGGGGGAAACAAGCACTAGACTACACTGGTGTTTCTGTAGATCCAGTGTGCGACAGTGCTGAGGGGAGTGTTATGCCCAAAACTAAGCCCAGATCTAACAATCCAAGGCCACCACGCAAGATTCGGCCTAAAAGGAAGGCAGCTCTGGTGGCTTTGAGTCATATTCGGGGGTTGCCTGACAAGGAGGTCATTATCCTGACTTCTGATGACGAGGCTGACCAAGGTGACGACGGTGAAGTGGTTGGCCCTCTTCTGAAGAAGCACTCTGCGAGGCGGATGAACCTTAGGGTTCAACCCTCCAAGTGACCCTTACGTAACGCTTTCTAACCCTTCCTGTGTTAATTTTTTAAAAAAAAGAGTCCCTATTTTTTTATTTTTTCGATATACTATTGATTAGCTTTGTTAATTGGTTGGTGTTGTAGGATTTTGTGACTAGATCTGGATGCATGTTGGCTTTGTTGGTTTTGTATGTGTAGATCTGGATTGATGTTGGATGGTTGCCTGTTTTTGATTGCCTGCTCTTTTGTCATGTTTGCTGTTCCGGAATTTGTTGGCTAGTTAGCCTGTTTGTTATTGGCTGGTCAGTTGGATGCTTGGCTATGTCTGCTGTTCTGGACTATGTTGCATGTATGCATGTGTTGGAGTATATTTAAGCATGGATGGTTGCCTGTTTTTGATTTCCTGCTCTTTTGTCATGTTTGTTGTTCCGGAATTTGTTGGCTAGATAGCCTGTTTGTTATTGGCTGGTCAGTTGGATGCTTGGCTATGTCTGCTGTTCTGGACTATGTTGCATGTATGCATGTGTTGGAGTATATTTTAGCAGCTGTTGGATTGTTGGAAAATGGTATATGGGTGTTTGATTGATGAATGATGAGGCTAATGTGTCTGTACATTTTTTAAAGGTGCCTTGGTCATACCTTGAAGTGTTCTCAATGATCAATTAAGTAGAGAACACATGACAGTCCCTTATGTGGTAGCATGACTTGTATTCAGTCCCCTAAGTGTCTATGTTGTGTACTCTGTCCAAATCCAAATGAGGAAGGGACTCTATTGACCTTCCCAACCCACAAGTGTTTTGCTCCAATGATGTGCTTTATGTTGTTATTGTTGAGGTAACCTTGTGGTTGGTGGTTTATTGAAACATGGAAAAAAAAACTTCTGATGGATTGAGTGCCCACTTAACATCAGACTCTTAACCATTTCTATTCCATTGAACATGTGGTTACAAAAGTACTTGACATTAGACTGCCTAACATGATTCATCACTGTAATCAACAAAATACACCTAACCACCTAATACCAGAATAAAAAACAGAACATAAAACAAAATTACCATACCAACTGTAAGTGGTTATGTGTGGCAGTCCATGTGTCTCTACTTTGATGTGATGAGTCCCTCAGTCTGCATCTACCTCAAATTCTTCTGTTCCTTATTCAGTCCCCTCATTTACTGGCCTAAACATAGAGTCTAGGTACTCCACTACCTCCAAAACCAGTTCCTTCTGCACTGGTACATTATTTGGCAACTCTCCAAGGTTTTCGAGTTTTTTCTTGTTCATGTGGGGTAATTTGTACTTATTCCCACCTTGTACCTTAAGGATCTCAATCATGCACTTTTTTAAAGACAGCCAAATGTACTTGTTGACTTGAGGATTGAATGCCTCATAAGATTCTTGCACTTTTGTAACTAACTCATCTAGGTTGCTAGGAAAAGACTGATATTGCAATGATTGAATTGACCTAACACTAGTAGAAAAATCGAAAAAGCCACCCCCCTTTTGCCACCGGTTCTTAAAAACCGGTGGGAAAAATAGTGGGCTTGATTTTGGATAATCACTTTTGCCACCGGTTCCTGAAAAACCGGTGGGAAAAGAATTGCACGGCATTGGGAAAAAGACTTTTCCCACCGGTTCCAACCAAACCGGTGCGAAAAGTTTATTATCCCCACCGGTTCAAACCGAACCGGTGCGAAAAACCCTTGCTAAATATAAATACAAAAACCCGGTCTCTTTCTGTCTCTTTCATTTCCTCATCTACCTCTCTCTCCCCTCAAAAACCCACCATCTATTCTCATCTCTCGTTCTTCTCTCATCTTCTTCTTCCTCATCTCTCGTTGTTCTCTCATCTTTTTCTTCTCTCATCTCTCATTCTTCTTCCTCAACCACCGGCCTTAGTCGAAGACTAAGCACAACAATCATCGCCGCCACCGTCATTAGAACCAAGTGGTAAATTTCCTTGATTTTTTTGGGTTTAATTGATGTAATATGTTCGAAATTGCGGGTTTCAGGGTTTCTCGGTTTTTTTTTGGGAATTTCGGTTTTTTATCTGATTTTTTCTATCAATTTGTGTTAATTTTTATTGCCTATTTTCTGAATTTCGTGCTTATTTTTTTGTTTCTTATTTTCTGGCAGTATCTAGTTTCCCCTTTGAGTGTTTTGATTTTTTGAAGCCATTAATCAGTATACTCCTCAATTTGAAATCTTAGATTCTAAGGAATGAGCTTTGTTTCAAACTTCTAGGGTTTTCTAGGTTCGAAATTTCTGGGTTTTTCTTTGTTCGAAGTTTCTGGGTTTTCTAGGGTTTGCTCTGCTCTGATTTCTAGGATTTTGTGATGTTTCTAATTGGGTGCTCTTGAATTGTATCTCGCAATCTTTAATTATTGTGCATTTGTTGATCCAACTATCTAATCTTTTGAATTTTGCCACCAATTTAGGTATATATTCTTTTTTCTGGCAGCTTATAGAATGGATATGCTCCTAAAAGCTTTATTTATCTTGACATTTGGCAGTAATATTGATACGTATAATATGGTCTATGCGTCTTTGATTTATTTCTAGATGCTGGAGGTATACTAAAAAGTTCAGATGCTATAAATGATTTTTTATTAATGACTGCACGCTCTGAACATTTGTGGATTTATCCTTTATTCCAATCCAAACCCTCTTTTTCTAGTATCCATATGCAGCTTTCGTCCTTTACATGAATGTAAATGCTTGATATGGGTGTTGGTGATGCTGATTTTTCACTTCCAGCATTAATAATTTTTTGTTAAGTACATTTTATTTTGTTCAAGTTTGTCCATACTCCAATTGATTGTCTGTGCATCTTGTCCTCACTTTTGCACAATGTGCTGAAGTAGTGTTGCACTTTGATTAATATGATGGAAGATAAACCTTTTCTTCACCGCCTTCTCTGTTTTATTTGTCATTGACCTTTACTTAGATAAAAGTATGCCCTGTCAAAATCACTTCCCATATACACAAGGACAGAAGGACTCCTGATCGAATTTGATGGTTATTTTTACTTGAGGTTTAGCTTAAGATTAGCTTGCTGTAATGCTCTTTCCAGTTCAGCTGCAATGTAGTTGTGAATTCTCTTTTTTCAAGACTTCTTGCTGCCTAGCTTTGGCATGATATGCTGCATATGGCTTTCTGAATGTGTTTATAGCTGTGGTTTAACTGTTTAAGGCAATTACTTGTATTTTTTTCAAATGATCTCTTTTCAGTGTTACAGTGAAACAGTCAAGTTTAGACATGTTACCTTTTTCTAGAGCGAGAATCACTCAGGTTACTTTAATTAATCAATTCTACTAATCACTCAGCTAAGTCTTCTCTCTCCATTTTTAGTTTTTATTGAATTATTTCAATTTTATCTTATTTAGGTTAGTTGTATTGGAAAATATATTTGGATGCCAGCAACTGTGATCTGTTGTTGGCCGGGGGTATTATATATGCTTGGTTGCGTTTGGTGATGTGAAGTTCACTGTTGGTGTTGGGAGTGTGATTATGATATGATATTGATTATGATTATGAGATTGTTATGTTGATTATATATGTCTATGATATTGATTGAGATTATGATTATGAGATAGTTATGATATTGATTATGCTTATGCTTATGATGATGATTATGATTATTAGATTGTTATGTTGATGAATATGCTTATGTTAATGATTGAGAAAATGTTGGTGATTTGAGAATGATTTAATTGATGGCTATAAGATTGTTACGTTA